AGCCTTGAGGACCGTGGTGAGAAAGGGGTTTGAATTTTACTCTAAGGTTGATTGTTGGAAGCCTTTTAAAGATCCTTAGTAGGAAAATTACATTATATCATACATTATTAAAGGAGCACTCTAGGACCCACAGATGGTAAGGGGCTGGTTGCAGGAGGCCGCTGCTCTAGGCTAAGCCAGAGACGGCTGCATGTGTGGCCTGGACGAGAAACGCATCAGCACGCGTGCTGAGAAGGGGAGGGTCTGGGAGGATGATTGGAGAAAGAACTGGCAGGGCTCCTGTATCATCGTGTGCTTTCCTCTGGTTTTCATTAATTTGAAAAGATACAGATATTATTCTTATAGAATTTTAGGAGATTAGATTTGTCCTAGGGAAGGGTAGATGTCAAACTCCTGAAGAAGGGCACAGTAAGGTATACAGCGTACAAGGATGTTCACTGCAGCAAAAGATCAGCAAGAAGCGTCTATCAATATGGAATTGGTAAAATAGTGCATCCATGAAAAAGAATGCAATAAGTTTTTCTGCAGGGAAAAGAAATGATGTTCAAGATAAAGTAAATTTAAAAACCTGGTGAAGGAGAGTCTGCATACTATGATCCCACTCATATGAATTAGAAATGATTATCACTATGTCCACGCTGTATTAAATATTATAAGAAAAAATCTGATGAAGTTTATCGATATATATTGTTAACAGTGGTCATCTAAGGTGCAGTGGGGATTATGATGGATTTTCACTTTATACCTGCTACTTTTTTTTCTCACTGCAATGTCTTAAACAATGGATGGAATTTTTTTTTTTTTTTTACCAGAGGCACAGGCAGCGTATTTTAGGATTAATAAGTACATTAATGGAATCTTTAAATCAACTACAAGAAATAAATCCTATAAATATAAATATTATTTTCCTTTATAGAGAGCTTATATTAATTTAAACCAGGAAAATGGAGGTTATTGATTCAATTGAAATTATTAACATTTCCAAAATGATGTTGAGACCACATTAATTCATTTCCTTCAAATTAACATCAAAAACAAGTATATAAAGTTTTGTTTATGTCATTTATTCAGGCAATGCAGCTCACAATGGTCTTGTGGTTTGGTAAAGAAAGATACAGAAATTTATATGTGAAACGAAACAAAAAGTTTCCATTTAAGTTGCACTTTAAGAAAAGACACAGGATGGTTATCTCTGAGCCCCAGGATTATGTATTATTATGATTTTTTCTATTGCTTACCTCCTTTCTGTATTTTCCAAATTCTTCATAATTGCAAATTACTTTTGCAGTCAGAAAAATATTTTATAATTGTTACATTAAAGTTAGGTGTTTATCTGTCTAACACAGCATACCCGGCCTACGTCAATCTGCTTGTACTTTCTATATGACATCAAGTAGTTCTCCTTTTCTCCATGACTGAAGTTTGCAGACGTTATTTACAAACTGTGACCAAATGATTTGTATTGTGATCACATTGGTTCCCACCTCTCTTTATCCAAAATGATGAGGCAAATTCCATTGAGTAAACCCTGACAAGCAACATTTTAAATGTCATTATTAAAGTGACTATGCAGGCTTTTCATCAGAACTGCAGAACCACAAAAAAAGGTCAAAGAGAATCTGACTGTTAGAAAAACTCCAGCTTCTTACACCTTCTATTAGCCACAATCACATGGTATGCAGCAAATATTTTTAGGTTACACTGAGAACGCTTGAAACTGAAGCTTTGGTGTGCAAGAGTGAAAGACAAACGGGTGGGAGAAGGGAGGAAAGAAGGAACGGGGGAGGGTTCCTTCATGACAATTGTAGTTTTTATGCAAAGGGTTTCAGATCCTTGGATGAAAGTTATTAAATACTGTGTGACATGCACATTGTACAAAAGCGTATCCTAATTATAGTTTGCTTTCAACCACCTGCAGCCTTTCTGTTTTCTGGGTTTTGCCTCTAAGCCTCGTAAATTATTTATGACTCATTAGCCTTTCACCCAAGGGACACTCTGTAAGCTCCATAAACGTTTGTGTATTTGTCTTGTACCTTTTTTTCTCACAAATGCATTCATTTGCTTTTTGGTCTCAGAATGTAGATTCCCACAGTGAAAAGCAATTAAATAATACTTGCCTCCTTCTCTTATATCCTCCTTTCTCTAAAAAGTGCCACTTATAATTTAAGAGCACATATTTGAAGACCAATTCTTTATTACAAATGGGGACCTTGAACTGAGCAGGGTGTTAGGAGCAGGGAGCAGGATGGTATAAGGACTACTGGGCCAGAGTGCCCCGACTTTGGCCTAACGGATACTTTGGGCTGGATAATTCTTTCCCGGGAAGGGCTGTCCTGTGCACTGTAGGGTTATTATCTCAGGCCTCCACCCACAAGATGCCCAGTGGTGCAGAGCTAAAGTTCCCTGATGTGACCACCAAAAGTGTTTTCAGGATAGTGCCAAATATCTCCTAGGGGACAAAATTGACCCTGATTGAGAACCACTGCACTAGGCCAAAGACCTTACAAAACCAAGCTCTGGGTGCCTTTGCCAATTCAAACTGTTCCTTTGACCCCATGGTCAACCTCTGCCTACCTAGCCACCCACCAACATGAAATACAGACACTCATAATACTCACACACTCTTCCAGTTGAAGACCTCAAATGGTGTCTGGAGTTCTTCCTCCGAATGCTATGCGGCCCATTCAGCTAGGAGGAGGGAAGCAGGCACCAGTGACTCCCCCTCCCTTCACTGACGTGAGTGTTCATGCTTATCACTTTTGAGGTACGTAAATGTACAGTGTCTTGATTTCTGATGCTCCAAAATTCCCCTAGTTTCTTTGTCCACTAACTATACTCGGCAACTCCATGCTTATGAATACTGTTTCAAGCATAATTTTATTTAATTAAATGCTTATTCTGCCTTGTAATTGTTTTTGCACTTACATATACAATTAAGATCTAGTCTTAAAATATTTATTTCCTGAAATTACCTTAGAGCCTATTACTTAAAACTGGGGGAAGGTTATAGCATGTAAAATATAAACAGACCAAAACCATGCCCCCCTACTTTCCCTGATTCATCCCACAACAACAACAACAACAACAACAAAAAACACGTATTAGCTCCTACGAGTTTTATTTTTATGCCTCCTAATATATTCAAGGGGTGTTTATTCTCCCTACTCCAGGTTGGCTGGTTTTTGATGCACCAAGGAAAATGGGCAGAGGAAACAACTTCCTTCACTTCAGAAACATTACTAATGAATTCTCTGTTATGGAAAACTAAAAAGCGGTTCTACCATTATTAGATTCATAACTTTGAGTTAAGCAGTTTAGTCTGTGCTGGCCTATTTTATCTTTGGTAAAGTGAAAATGATACCTACCCTCTGGCATATTGGATGAAATTATCTGTTTTAAGCTCTTAGCCCTGTGCCTGACATACAGGCATTTTATTGAAAGTGTCATTTTCCATGCCACTTCTCCTCTTTGTTCCCAGCACACTGGCTAAATAATTTGTGAGGTCTAGCGCAAAATGGAAATGCAAGCTCCATTGTTCAAATATTAAGAATGTCAAGATGAAAACAGCAGAACATTAACCCAAGCGTGGGGCCCTTCTAAGCACTGGGTTTTGAGTTCCTGCATAGGTTTTCACACTCATAGAGCCAGCCCTGCCCCGTCTGCTAGGGTTTTCAAAGTTCTATTCATCTATTCTTCTACTAAATTAAGAGCCACTCTTCCATTCGACAACTGACCGGGAAATAAATGAAACTAAACAGGGCTTTATTACGTGCTGCGTTCCAAGCTGGCTCATTTTTTCTGAAGCTGATGAGTGTGGTGAGCCCAGGGCTCTTCTAGAGGAGCAGTTTAACCTGCCATGGCATTTCCGGAGTTTGGATCATTCTCAACATGGAGGAATTTTTTTTAAAATACCTTAGTTTTCTACAGTTGGACCCTTGAAAACAGCCAAGAAACACTTAGTGGCCAAGGAGGCACTTAATTCAAAAGCTCTTCTGGTAGACTTATCAAACAGCTTTCACAAAGAAAGGAGCATGGCTCTAAATCACTCTCTTAGACCCTACACTGGAGACTCAGGGAACTGGTGCAGATGTCTAAGAGGAAGACTTGGTCCCCAGCCCACTGTGTCCTGGCTCGGCCTGTTTTTCCTTCTCCTTTGTGGATACATCAACATGTCCTTTAACGGTGTTCTCAGGGTTCTCACATCCTCTTTGTAAGAGGGGAGTACTGCGAGAACAACATATGTACTGAATGCATGTATACACACACACACAAATTTCCAAACTTCCTCCGTTGGAGGAAACACACACACACAGGCTCACAAGACATCTTCACAGATGGCAGTTGTATTATGTACATTGGGATATTATCTGTTAGTTTTCATTGAGCCTGTCATTTATGCTCAGGATTTTATATTTTTACAGGGGAGAAGCTGAGGCTCGGAGTACTTACCTAACCTGCACAAAGCCACACAGCAAGTGAATGGGTCTGGATTAGAGATTTCCTCTGACTCCTAAGCTTATATATTAAAATTCTATTCAGTTTAGTTGATTAGAAATTGAGAGTTTCAATTTGGCACAGTCCCTTTGACGTCAAAGAACAAACAAAACGCAATACACTTAAACTAATATGATTAGCAAATGTGTTAATGTGGCTGTCTTGCTCTTATGTCCCCACCCCCACCACTGTAAATCGTTCAGCGTCTAACCGTTAGCAATTTTCCCAACAACTGACTGAGAGGACAGGCTGGCCTCTAGGTAAAGATAAAAAGCAGTAACACTGAAGACCTCAAGAAAACAAAGAGCTGTTGGAAACGCAATCCCTCACTTCGGGCCTCGATTTAGCGGGAGAAAAACCTCTGCACGTGGACCCACGCAATTCCCAGCCCGCGCTAGCACCCGGGCTACTCGCTAGCCGGATGGCACCACGCAGGCGCGAGGGCCCAGGCGCCTAGGGAAGGTCAGGCCACGGTTTCCCTGGATACCAGGCGGAAGCTGCCGGAAGCTGCGCTGTGGTTGGCCGCCGCGGATGGTGGAGCTGGGGGTGGAGCCCGAGGAGGAAGACAGCCGCAACGAGGAAGAGGACTCGGTTCGGGCCATGGAACGCGCGCAGGCGGGGGTGTTAACCGACTCGGCGGGTGCGCGGGGGCCTCAGGAGCCTGGCAACCTCCCTTGGTGTATATGAGGAGGGCGGGGCGGGCAGACGCCCAGGGCGGCGGCCGCGGCCGTTGGGGTGCACCGTCTCCGCCCCGCTTGGTTCATTTCGTCTTCCTGGCTCTGCCTAGACGGCTGCCTTTGGCTGCCTGGTTAAGACCCTGAGAGGGATGGCTTCGCCTAGTTAGGCAAGAGTGTATTTGTAGTAGCCCCTCAAAGAGGCAAAGGAAAGCCAAAGGGACTCCCGGGAGGTTTAAAGTTGCAGAAGTGTTGAACCTTTTCTCGCAGTTTGGGGGTGGGGCTGGGCCTCAGTCTGGTTTAGAAGGATTGGGTGGGCTTGGAACCCACGTGTCCGGTGGTCGCCTCTCTGGTGACCCACTTCCAGCCTCAGGGCTCTCCTTCCCTGCCCTTTTTTTTTTTTTTTTTAAGGTAATTAAACTTTTAAATTTTGGAAGTTTTAGAATTACCGAAGTTGGACAAAGAGTATTCCCTAATGCTAGTATCTTACATCACCACAGTACATTCGTCAAAGCTAAGAAATTAACAGTCATAATACTGTTAACTAAAATATGAACTTTATTCACATTTTACCAGTTTTTTCCTACTATGATATTTTCTGTTCCAGGATCCAAACCAGAATAGTACACTGCATTTAACCTGCCTTGTTTTTAAACTGGTGTTAACAGTTGGAATTTCATCTTTCCTGTGTCTCCTGCCACCCCCATTCCCCGTGACATAAGCTACTTTTTTTAAAATCCAAGAAATATTTACTTTTTTTTTTCAATTTATTGAGCATTTATTGATCGTCTATTATATGCCTGGCACTGTTACTGAGTACTGAGGATTCAGCACTGAACCAAATATTCCTGCTTTCATATGGAAGCTAAATAGTTCACTGGAGCCTATAGGTTCTATCTTCTGCAGTTTTGTATTTCTGATTTTTTAAAATTTAAGGACATGACACTTAGAATAATTTTTAAGTTGGTTGAAATCTGCTTTTAATCTTTTCTACCCCTCTAATTTACCATAAATTTTACTGGAAACTCTCAAGTGAGAGGATAGTCTCTTTTGTCATCTATTGTTGATCAAGACTTTTTCCCCTCGTGTATTAACTTCTTAAGAAAAATACAATGCATAAAGAAATGCTAAGTAAACAGGACTGAAGACCCTACTGTAGATGAATTTGCTCTCATGTCTTTGTAATTTTTACATACTTTAGCAGATATAATCAATCCAGGAAGAAAACTTTAAAAATCACTTGGCATTATTTTTTTCTCAGTTACCATGTTTTAAGGTACTGCCAATTGCTAAGAGATGATAAGCAGCCTGAATATATTTTTGTATTTCTTTGCATATTGTACATCAGGTTATGATCAAGTGGCGCCAGCAGGAAGTACTTCATCCAGAGTCATAGTACATGTGGATCTGGATTGCTTTTATGCACAAGTAGAAATGATCTCAAACCCGGAACTAAAGGGCAAACCTTTAGGTAATGATGGACATTGATAATATTTTGTTGTATAATAGGATCAGCACTCGTTTATTATGTCCATTGTATTCTGATTTATTAACCACAGTAGGAAGGATTTGGGGGCTCAGAATGCCGCCTCACTATCTAACCTTTTCTGTAGATGAATAGGAAGAAGAGTTCAATAATTAGAACATTTATTGGAGGAGATCCTTGATAATTACTGTAGGTTGGTACTTCTAGCAGAACATTGGTTTATATTCATTAGACAGTTACCCAGAAGATAAGTGAGTTTCCAGTAATTAATTGTACTCAATTATTTTAATCTGCTTTTATTTTTTGGTAAAATATGGGCTAGAGTTATCTATAGATTTTTATAGAGTTAATTCAATATAAATTAATGTGGTTTTGTATTGTCTGAAAAAAATTCTACAGTGATTTTATTTGTATCTCTTTGCTGAAGACTCCATAGAATCTATTGATTTGTGAAAATTTCTGTTAATTTTACTTTAAAGAACTTTGATGATTAGAAGCTGTATTTTTAAAAATGAAACAGCTTTTTATTTTTTTATCAAAACAGATTGCATTACAATTTACGATTATAATATAGGGTTAGTAAATTATATTTTAAGATATTTCTTTCAATTCTGTGCAGTTTTCTCATAAAATATTTATTTTTTTATAGGGGTTCAGCAGAAATCTTTGGTGGTTACCTGCAACTATGAAGCTAGGGGACTTGGAGTAAAGAAACTTATGACTGTTAGAGATGCAAAAGAAAAGTGTCCACAGCTGGTGTTAGTTAATGGAGAAGACTTGACTCGTTACAGAGAGATGTCATATAAGGTTACAGGTACAGCTTATAGGCAATATTCTTTTAGCAGTAATTTTTATACAGGCTGCCTGTTCATTACATGACTCTTTGAATAAATGTAAAATGCCATAGTTTCTTTTTTGCTAATAACTTTATTTAAGGTTTTGTTCATTTCTTAAAAATTTATGTGAGGATGACTTTATGTAAGTAATTTTGGTACAAAATGTAGAGTTGGAAGGAGTTTGAAGCCTGTCATGACTGGTGTCACGTAAATGTGAGAAAAGTGCAACAAATTTTAAAAGTGAGAAAATGGGGAGCTATACTAAGGAAAGCCAAATATTTTAAATTTTGAATTTAAATGAATTATGCGGAAATATGCTATATTCTAATGCATTAACGTTAGTTGAGAGAGGCTTCTGTAATGTTTAAGAGAATTAAAAAACAATTTGTTGAACTCTAGCTCTTTGTTTATCTTTTTTGTTACTATTTGTTCATTTTTTATTTGTAGCAGTTTCCAGATGAAAGGGTTAAATATATATACTATCCAACAGCACTAACAAAACAAGGAAAAAAAACACAAGAAAAATGGACAAAGAATACGAATAGGTGGTTGACAAAAAGAGCAAACACAATGTCCTACGATTATCTGGATAAAAGAATGCTCAAATTCATTATTGTCTAAGAAAATTTGAATTAGTAAGATACTATTTTATATCCATCATACTTGCAAAAAAAAAATAAAGAATGTGAGAAAAAGTAGAAACACAAAGTATTATAGCCTTTTTGAAAAGCAATTTAGAATTGCTTTTCTTTAACATCAAATTTTTTTGATGTTAAAGATACGTATTATATTATTTAACCCAGTGATATAACCTCTGGCAATTTAAGAAAATCATAAGGATGTATGTACAAAAATTTGTATTGTAGCATGGTTCATAATTAGTAAGCATGAAATGAAAACAAATGTTCATCAGGATGAGAATGGCTAAATAAACTAAGACTGGTGGAATATTAAGTAACCATTAAAAAGAATGCATTGGTGCTGTGTGTTTGATTCATAAATATATACCTTTTTAAGTGAGAAAAAGATGCAAAAAACATGTATTACATTTTTCCATATGTATAGAACAATAGCACGAACCCCTCCCCCACATATATATGTGTATATATGACCAGGAAGAGAAACATGAGAGGATATATACTACGTTGTGAACCTTAGTTACCCTCTGCGGGGGAAGAGGCAGTGCTGAAATTGGAGGAATGGGGAGAAAGGACAGCCAGGCAGAGAAGCCAAGACTGTACTCCCAAAATAGTACTTGTGCATCTATGCAAAATTGTATGTGTCTGAATATTAAGAAGTTAATTTTTAGTGTACACAGAAGAGGTTATATGATGCATAGAATTGTGCATCTTGCCTTTGTTCTTGGTGATCTTTCATGTCATCCATATAGTTCCTCCTCCTTTTTTTTTAATGACTGCAATGTTCCATTGCACTTTGTTCCGTACTTATTTAACCAGTCCTCTAGTGATAGGAAGACAGTATGTCCCACTTTATGCCTAATGTCCCTACATAATTATTAGTACTAGCTCTTTTTGTTTAAAAAATGTCTTGTTTTAAATGATAAATTATATGGTTTCCCTGATAGTGATAGACTATTAGGCTGTTACCAACTTTTTGCTCTTACAAAAAATTCTTCAGTAAACATTTTCATATGGAAATTTTGTCATACTTTTATAAGGATATTCATAAGTTAAGTCCCTAGAGATTAATTGCTATAACATATCAAAGGTAATTTACATTTAAAATTTTGAATACTGCTATATGTTGCACTTGTATTTTATTGCTAGTATGTGTGAGAGTGTTAGATATTCTCAAATTGTAAAGATTATCTCATAGGTGAAAAAAATAGTGAATGTTTTCTGCCATCCAGCTGGTATCAACAAGTGATTCAGAGAGAAATGAAAATTCTTCTCAATGATTTCAAAGTTGTTATTAGTCTTAAACCTAAAAATGAGAATTGATAGTCCTTTTGAATTTATATCAAATTTTGGTTCAGTTCAGGTTAGTAAACATTAGACTTAAGGACTAGGTATTGGGCTAAATGTTAGATGTTCAAATACATGTAAATTACAGTCCATCTCTGCCCTTAAGGAATTAACTGGGGAATGGCTAATTAAAATATTGAATTGTGGTGTATTTTGAAAATTAAGTGAGTCTGTGGCCATACCACCCTGAACGCGCCCGATCTCGTCTGAAAATTAAGTGAGTTTTCTTTTTGGCTCAGTAGTAATTGGAAATTATAAATTTTGGTTTTGCCTTTAAAAACTGTGAAAAATGTAGCTAGAATATATTATTGTTTTTACTTTTCTGGGCAGACTATAATTTATTCTTTCACCCACTGCTTCACAATCATAATTAGCTATAAGCATTGATATTTAATGTACTACAGATATAGAAAGTATAAGAGATTTAGCTAAATGTATTGTTATGAGTATCTGCCCAGGAAATACCATTTTGTACGTACTTTGTTGGGAAAATTTTGCCTCTACTCAAAATGTGGTTCAGAAAAAAACAAATCCCAGTTAACTGAGGACTTTATTAAATATATTGTGGAACTGTGACTATATGTAAAACCTTTATAACGTATTTGATGTAAGCATAAAATAGTTAAATTTATTCTAGTTGTAGCTTCAGTTACATCTGTGCTCCAATATTATATAGAATTGTTGGAAGAATTTAGTCCAGTTGTTGAGAGACTTGGATTTGATGAAAATTTTGTGGATATAACAGAAATGGTTGAGAAGAGACTGCAGCAGCTTCAAAGTGATGAACTCTCAGCATTGACTGTGTTGGGTCATGTATACAATAATCAGTGTAAGTGATTTTTTACTTACTCTATCTAGTAATTTTAAAGTACATATGTTTTTTTTTTTTTAATTAATTTATTTACTTTTTAAATACATTTGTCTCTGCCTTCCCCCCACCTCTTTCCCTTGCCCCCTCCCACCTTCCCTCCCTCAGCTCTTCCCCTTTGGTTTTGTCCATGAGTCCTTGCTATATGTTCCTTGACTTTCCCCTTCCCTTCCCTTTCCCTGCCCCCCCTTCCCTCTTGTCTCTGTTGATTTCTTTTCCTTTCAGTGTTGCTGAAAGTACATATGTTTCTTAATGTTCAGTGTGTTCAAAAAATTGAACATTGTAGGCTTTTGTTGGAGGTATAGCCATATTTCAGTAGTCTGTCTAGATGACTAAAATATGTGTTGCTGTGTAGCTCGGTGCTCTGTACACTTTTCATTTCTCCAACACAATCCTTGCATTGCCATTTTTAAGTGTTACGACACTTTAGAATGTAATTATGACTCTTTAGGTCACTTGAAAGTTACAGGAGTTGGCTGATAATATGCTTTTTAGAATAATTTTTTATTCTCTTAAAACTATCTTTAAGCAAAATTTTGAGATAGATGAAATTTGGCTTTGTTGCTTTTGCTTTTGTTCCCCCAAGCCCCCAAGACCCTCCTGTCAGCCATGACTTCCCAAGGTCTCCCTTTTGGAAGCTCATCCCGGCCTCCCTGCCATCTTTTGCACGCTCCTATTTAATTAGTTCAGATAATCTTTGCCAGCTCTTAATATGAAAGCAGAATGGTTCATCTCCTTCACATATGGAAGTTTAAGTGGCTGCTGGTGTTTGCAGGGGGATATTTGCATTTGAAAATAAGCTACAGGGCAGCTCCAGTGACTGTCCAATTAGACTTTGAAATATCCTGGGACTCCACTAGTGACTTCCACACTATACCACCGAGAAGACAAGCTACTCTGCTCTTGTGCAAGACTGGCGCTGACCACCTCGCTTCTAGGTCTCTGCAGGTGCTTCCTCTCATCCCCTTTTTCTGAGAGCTGGTGATCAGTCTCCTTTCTAGTTCTTCACTTCCTTGGTGCTAAAGAAAAGGGGGAGCTACAGTTCTCTTCTAGAGGAAGACTTTTCTTATCTTTTGTACCTGTAGTCTGCTGTCAATTACAAAGACTAAGCAGCAAGAATGTTCTAGATATGTTTCTATGTAATTCTTAAAGCAAACTCAGACTTTATTGCTGAGAACATAGTACAGACAGCTAGGTTTTATATCCTAAAAACAAAATGTCTAATTTTTCATGAATTCTCCCACTTCCCCACAATGCTGTTAAAAATTTTTAAACCTACAGAAAAATTGAAAGTAATACAATGAGAATATTCATTATATCCTCCTTGTACATATATCTGTTACCATTTTTCCACATTTGCTTTATCTTGCTCTTTATTGATAGGTTGACTGATTGATGAGCCATTTGAAAGTCAATTGCAGATATGACATCTGATTTGTAAATACTTCTGAGGATAAGATTTGTCTCATGTAACTGTTAATACCATTTTCACACCCAGTAAAAGTTGTTTCTAGATAATTTCCCTATGCTTTTCATAAAAGAGCTCTTAAATATGCACAGATCTAAAATTGTTTTTATGTAGCTAGTGTGTAAAGTTTAGATTCAGACCTTTAAAGCTGTAATGTTTGCTTTCTTACTAACCTAATACTTTATGCTTTCTTACAGGTAAACATGAATAAAAGTTTTACTAATGTCAGTAGGAATTTCTTATAAGAGATCAGTTTTCACAATCTGTTCATCATTAAGCACTCTTGTGCATTCTCCGTCACAGGCCCTATAGTTATTTACTTTACAGAATTCCTGTGAAGAACTAAATAGATTAGTTAAGTGGGTGACAGTATGGTGGGGTGTTGGAGTGGGTGTTGAATATAGGTTAAATAAATCCTGTACCCTTTTAAAACTCATTTGTAAAAGAGGAAATTAAAAATTTTTGTGGTGACTTTTGACAACATTGGCTGTTTTTATAGCTATAAACCTTCATGACGTCTTGCACAGGAGACTACTTGTTGGATCTCAGATTGCAGCAGAGATGCGGGAAGCCATGTGTAATCAGCTGGGTCTCACTGGCTGTGCTGGAGTGGCTTCCAATAAGTTACTGGCAAAATTGGTTTCTGGTGTCTTTAAACCAAATCAACAAACAGTCTTATTACCTGAAAGCTCTCAAGCTCTCATTCATAGTCTGAAACACATAAAGGAAATGCCTGGTAAGACAGATATATTTGAAAAGTATGTATTTTATTGTATTTCCTTAATTTAAAAATAATACATGTAACTAATCCTTAGATCTTATGCACTTTGCTCTTGGAGAAAACCAAAAAAACCTGTTTTCTGGAGGGAATCTGTAGTAGGAAACATATAGAGTACTTTTCTAGTCTCATCTACTTTTGTAGAGTTTGAATGTGATCATGAAAGTTATAACCTGGAAACATACTCATATAGTCCTTTATTTCCAATCCCTGGTTTATACTCTTATACTGTACATTGCATATAAAGAGGACAGTTGTCTTTTATTAACTCTTTTTTTGGATTATATATAAAATAGTAGGGCTACAAGGACTTTCTGAAGCATTTAGGCAAAGCTTTTATTTTAAAGATGTGGAAGCTGATTTTTTTTTTAAGGGTTCAGTGATCTGTTCACGTAGAGTTTGTATCATTGAAGATGAATACTTAACATTTTTGTAGACCATCAATAATGGATATGTTAAACTTCATTTCTATGGCATTGCTGGAGATAGAGATGTTATAATAGAATTCTATGGAAGTGAGTGAATTTTTAAGACAACTGATACTAAACCTGCAGATGTCATAACTTCACATTTTTAACCTATGTTTATGACATTCTGAAATGTGTTACTCCCTTGCCTCCCTTAAAGTAGTACAGTTGTAAGTTCTTCGATGAACCTGAGGCTGTGTTCTGAAGAATAATTAATATGTCAGGTTGTAATACATTGAGGACTATATGCTGATACATGCCTCTATAGCTTGACTTTACTTTTTGAATTCTTGAATTTTTTTTTTTTACTGGTTTTTTTCTTCCTTATTGCCAACTTGCTAGCCCACTTTTATTTCAGCTGTGAAAATATTTGTCACTCCATTTTAATAATTTCCCTGATACATTCACCCTCTTTGATTTACTACTTTTACTGTTCAAGGCAACCAGATAACTGCAGAATTAACTTTTTAAAAATGAGAGGAGTAAAGGGGCACTAAATTGACTAAGCATTTTTTCTGTGATAAACTATGCGTTTTCCAGCAAAAATTTTATAATAGAAGTTTTGCTAATGAGAATTTTTTTTTGTTGGTTTGTATTCTGGTTCTTAGTTGTATTCAAGTGGTAAATATTGCCAGATATGACTTGTAGATAAATGTCTGGTGTTGTGTATAAAATCAGCTAGGTTAACTATTAAACATATACTAATTAATTTTAATTGCTCTAGAGATAGTCTGTCTTTGGGTGTCAAACCTTTTGGCATGTCTGGGCCACACTGGAAGAAGAGGAGTTGTCTTGCGCCACACATTAAATACACAAACACTAATGAAAGCTGATGAGCAAAAAAAAGGTTTTGAGTAAATTTATGATTTTGTGTTGGGCTGCATGTGGCCCATGGGCCACGGATTGGACACACCATGAATATTCAACACGATTCTTGGAGTACTTCCACAGTGGTCTATATCAGGTGGTAAAAATTTCATTTTATCAAGACAGAATGTATTGGTTGTCTCTATGTGCATTATATTATATTAAGAATATTTGGGCTGTTGGGTTTTTAAAGTGGTTCGTATAACTCACAGACCCTGAGCAGAAGAACAACAATCTAATTTTTAATGAAGTTTGATCTTAACAAAATATTATGGGATTTAAAGATATGGTTGATACAGTATTTTCATTAGCTTTATTTTAAGGAAAAAAGCTGTTGTAACACTCGCTGCATTTCTCTTTTTTTTTTAGGTATTGGTTATAAAACTGCTAAACGCCTTGAAGCACTGGGCATCAGTAGTGTGCACGATCTTCAGACTTTTTCAAGCAACATACTAGAAAAGGAATTAGGAATTTCTGTTGCTCAGCGTATCCAGAAGCTCAGTTTCGGAGAGGATAATTCTCCTGTAACAGCCTCAGGACCACCTCAGGTGCATGATAATGATATTTTAATTGAGTACTGGTTGTGACATTGTTTGAGATGAAGATTTCTGGTTTATTGCTGTATTTTTACTATTCTAGTTTGCTTATTATGTTAGTAGTACATGATCCCTTTCCTATGAGGAGGCTAATTTATTGTAATAGATTTTTTTAATTGACTGATTTTGAGAGAGAGAGGGGAAGGAAAAGAGAGACATCGATTTTTTGTTCCATTTATTTATGCATTCATTGGTTGATTCTTCTATGTGCCCTGATTGGGGATTGAACCCTCAACCTTGTCATATCAGGACAACACTCTAACCAACTGAGCTACCCAGCCAGTGTATAATAGATTAATAAATATTCTTAAATTGAACCTAAAAATTAGTATTTAAATATAAAGTTAGCTATTTTGATTAAATAGCCTATATTACATATATGAGGCAAAATATTTTAATTTTTTAGTAAGTTTTGTTTTTAGAGTAGTATAATGACTTAGAAAATGGAGAAAGGTATAATCATCTAGTTCACATTGATTTTGTATCTTTGTGGCAGGTGCTTTACTAAGTACTTTATATACATTATCCCATTTAGTTTTCACAAACTTTTGAGCTAGTTCTACTGTTTGTTCATACCTTTTCCCCTCTCTTCCTCTTGTTCCCGTTCTTTATTAAGATGAGGATACCAAACTTTACAAAGGTTAAATAACTTGCCCAAGGTTAAATTCAAGTCTAAGGAGATTAAGAGCCTCGCCATAATTGTAAAGTTTGGAGTGGCTGCTAGAGCTTTATAATTCTCTTGACTTCCACTGCATTTTCTAGTGGAGTACAATAACTTAGAGATAAAAAGAGATAATATAAAAGTGAACTAAATGGCGCTGATATTTGGATATGCTTATTTGGGTTTACAATTATCCTTATTTGTGCTTCTTTGGTAGTCCTTTAGTGAAGAAGATTCATTTAAAAAATGTTCATCAGAAGTCGAAGCTAAAAGTAAGATTGAAGAACTACTTGCTAGTCTTTTGAACAGGTGATTTTCCATTTTGCCATATCCTATATTTTCTGTATGTAGTATATGGAAAGACTGTGTTCTGCTTTGGAACTTACAGATTAACTGGAGACTAAACAGTGTAAAGGCAAATCATTTATCACTGACTTTCTCTACATTATAAACTATTGCAAAGGTAGTAACAGATGCTTTTAACTAAATGCAGTCCATCTAGTTCAATTGATTTTTAATGACAACGTGGTTGTATTGTGGATCTTAAGCTGCTGATAGTTACCTAATGGGGTTTTATGGATATGTCTAGAATCCTGACACCTATCAATTTGTGATGCTTGAGGATGGGTAGCGATTAAGCGCAACAATGAGGGAGAAAGCAGAAAAACCTTATTATCTCCTTTGCCTTAGACTATGTGAGAGAAAATCGAGGCAGACGAAAGAGTAGCTCAGTGGGCCTGTGTGGGAGCGGCGAGAGTGACTGGGTGTATGCAGGGTTACTGCTCCGTAGGTATGTGAAGAATGTCAGCTGGGGTTATGCATGGATACAATAGCCTAGCGTAAATGGAACAACACATGTACCTTTCCGATGCCCCTTTGCCATCATATATCTATTCTCAATACTCTGTGGGAGAGTATAATCTCTTTTCCTCTTATTTCTTTCATTTCTCAGAATGAGGTGTGAGGGACCTAACAGTTTTGGGTAGGTGTGCTTCTGTAATGATGTCTGGGTGGCTAACTGTCTAGAGAAAAGGTTTTGGATGACTATAAATATGAGAAAACTGATAAAGTGAAATACCTACAACTTTGCTGTCACATGTGGTGTGGTTCTCAAGTCTTGGGCAAAGCCACGCAGCTCATCATTTTGCTGCATGCAACTGGGGCAGACAACGGCCCAGCTCCAGTGACATGAGTCAGCCTGGGCCCGTGATATGCTTGTGAAACTGGGTTATCTGCTTTGCTTCAACGAAATATAAGGCTGCTATGAAAAGCCTAGGTATTGGAAATAGTTCTGCGCATACAAAAAACACAAGAATTATGAATTTTATAGGTTCTCGTATTTGAAGAATCAACTCAGAAATGAGGCTAGGTGCTCTGAACCTGTGAAATACTAACTATTAACCATCTATCCTTATCTTGGCTTGCCATTCCCTCTTCTATACTATATCCCTTCATTTCAGCGATTGAAGTGTAATACTATTTAAATAACTGGCAGAATGCATTTTCCTTCTAGAGTATATGATGACTTGGTAGGAATGTAAGAGGTATTAAATCATCTACTTTTTAATTCAATTTATAGGCAATAGTTTAAGATTGCTTAGACTATATCCTTTTTCTAGTAGGCCGTCATTAGTTATAGGAGCCAAATCATTGTCTTTGAATTGTGTAATGACTTAACAGAACAAGCTTAACTGGAAGATACTGAAACTAGTAACATATTTACAGGAACTATTTGGGATGTTTATTATTTTAGTAAAGTAGCAAAAGAAATTTTGTGATAAAAGAATGAAAGAAAAAAATAATTTATTACAAAAATTGAAGTTTTCCAATTCAGAATCTTTGATTTTAGTATGTTTAACAATGTATGATATTTGTATTTTGTATTTGTGATTTTAATGCATTGTCATACATATAGTGACATGTATTTTCTCTTACTAGATTTCTACTCTTAAAGTCAATTTCCTATATCATTAAAACTTTTGTTTTCAGCCCCAAAACCAAAACCATTTGGTTGGAACGCTTTATAAGATACATGTATATGTACTTATATTCCTAACTATAGAATATAATTAATCTTCCCAGTTACTGCTCTAATATGCCACATAGTGGTGATATTATTACTGGCTCTCTTGGATCTATTTGGGGAGTGCTCTTTGATAAAAGTAACCTCATTTTTTTTCTTCCTATAATCATATATTTTTTAAAAAATGTGTAAAAAATTGTTAACTTTTCATATCTTTGCTTCTGTCAGTGAATGATTCTCTCATTTTCTTTAATTTCTTGTTGATTTTAATATTCTGCCTTTAGTTACATTTTGGACTTGGATGATAAAATGGCTTGTTCTAATTATGCTTTATTTCTGTTCTTTTCTCTGATTAGCACTCAATTTTGAGTGGGGCCTGAGGGTCTTACACTTAAAATTTCAGATCTTTAGTGTGTAGATTTTGAAAAATTTATTTGGGCTATTCAGGGACCTTTATTGCATACTGTCTAATTATCAACCATACTTACAACATTATTGTTACTAAATCTGGCACCTTTAGATCAATTGAGTTTATTAGACAATTTTTAAAAATCTTTAGGTAATATTTTTTCAAATAGTTTATTTCCCCTTTCTCTTTATTTTTAGAGTATGCCAAGATGGAAGGAAGCCACATACAGTAAGATTAATAATCCGTCGGTATTCATCTGAGAAATACTCTAGCCGCGAGAGTCGTCAGTGCCCTATTCCATCCCACATAATTCAAAAGTTAGGAACAGGTGTGGGCCTTTCTAATCCATTAGTTGGCAGGTTGGACTCTTAAAAAGCAAACTTTGACTTAGAAACATGCTCCACAGATGGAGGGTCTTCATAGGAAGTTAGCTATTAAATCCCTTTATTCTATCAGAAATTTTTACTAGAAAACTTTTTTTTTTAATAGATTGTAAAAGTAAAGACTCACTTAATAATGTTTCCTAACCTCAGAGAAAACAAACTTTGACAATTTTATGTTATGAGATAACTTTTTAATGAGCTTTTAGATTGTTTCCACTTTCTTTGGCTATTATGAAAAACGATGCTGGCGAGTCATTGGTCAGATACGTGCCTTTGTTTATCTTGCGTGGGTTACAAGAAGTGGAACTGCTGGGTTGTATGTTAAGTTGAACTCTAAGACACTGCCAAATTTTTTCCAGAGTGGGTTTAACAATTTACATTCTCACCAATAATATATTAGCATTCCAGTTTTTCATATTCTCACTGACATTTAGCATTGCCAGATTCTTTTATGATAGTCATTCTTGTGGCTGTGTAGTGGTATTTCATTGTGTTTCTTTTTTCTTTTATGGATAATGCTTTTGGTGTTAGATCGAAAAATTCTTTGCCTAATTCAAAGGTCACAGATATTTCTTCCTGTTTTTTTTTTTTTTAAGAGATTTTAAAGTTTTAAGCTTTGAACTTAGATCCACTTTGAGTAATTTTTCTGTGTGGTATAAGGTAAAGGTCTTAGTTCTTTATTTTGCATGGGGTATCCATTTGTTTCAGTAGAATTTATTAAAAAGACTGTTCTTTCCCCATTGAATTGTCACTGCAGCTTTGTCAAAAACTAATTGGCCATAAATGTAAAAGTTTATTTCTTGACATTCTTATTCTACTGATCTATAAGTTTATCCTTATACCAGTTCTTCCCTGTCTTGATGTAAGTTTTGAAATTAAGTAGTATAACTTCTCCAGCTTTAATTTTTTCAAAATTATTTTGGCAATTCATGGTCCTCAGCTTTTGTTTGTAGAAAGATTTTAAGGTAGGAATTTGATTTCTCTGTTTTTTAAAAGTTTATCAAGATTTTTCTGTTTATTTTGAGTCTTTTAGTAATGTGTATCTTTTAGAAATATATGCATTTCATCCAAATTGTCTAATTTGTTGTCATGGATTTGTGAATATTCCTTTATAATTCTTCTAATTTTTATAAGGTCTATAGTGATGTTCCTCTTTCTTGATTTTGGTAATTTGGTATTCTGTTTTTTGCTTTGTCATTCTAGCAAAGATTTGTCAATTTGTTTTGATCTCTTAAAATCCAACTTTTGTTGTCATTGTTTTCTCTATTGTTTTTATACTTTTTATTTTATTTATTTCTGCTCTGATCTTTGTAATTTTTTTCTTTCTGGTTGCTTTAGGCTTAATTTTTCATTTCCCCTTTGTTTCTTAAGATGGAAGCTTACACTATTTATTTTATATTTATCTTCTTTTCTAATAATTCAAGCTGAAAGTCATACATTTCCTTTTAAGCAGTGTTTTAGCTGTATTCCATGAATTTTGTTGTTTCTTTTTTCATTAAGGTGAAAATAGTTTCTCCTATCCCTTCTGATTTATTTTTTGATCCCTAAATTTATGTAGAAATTTGTTGTTTCATTTCCAAGTATTTGATGATTTCCCCTATTTCTTTTTGTTACTGAATTCTACTTTAATTCCATGTTTATCAGAGAATATACTTAGAGTAATTTCAGTCCTGCAAATTTATTGAGCCAAATTTTATTGCCTGGTAATAAAATTTATGATAAGGAGTCAGCTGTTAATGGTTTTATCAGCCTCCTACCAATCAGGAGAGAATAACCACACGGAAATTAGAATGGGAAAGTTTAATAGAATTATTAAACTGAGGTAGAAATTGACTATAAAAGTGTAAAGAGAACACCAAGACGATGTATTAAGGGCTGAGGAGAAGTACCCAAGGAAGGACAAACTTGGAAAGGGGGGTTCCCCCACCCCTCAAAGAGAAGGTGTGGCTGCAGAACACTGGGTGGTGGAAAAATCCTTTTAGAGTTACCTGGCCCAGAGTTGATCCAGAGTTATTGGGCAGAGAGAAAACCACCCGCTGATCCACGGAGGAGCTGAGGCTAGTAGGTGGGCACACAGGAGGAATGGATGTTGGGAGTTTGCTCACCGGCAGGGCAGGGCTCGAGCTGGGATATGCAGGGTTTATGTGGGAGAGCTTCTGTTAGCAGCCCTCCAGGAGGCAGGCAAGGTGAGGCTGGTGGTGGCTGTGCTGAAGGAATCCGCTGGCACAAAGTCAGAAGGTATGGTGCCTGCACTGGAAGATCTGGAGGAGACAACCCTTCGGAATTGGCAGGTCAAGGCTGTTAGGTTGGTGTGCAGGAGGAGTGGGGGTTCTGTTTACAGCACTGGCCTGGTGTGTGCAGTGTTTGAATTGATGGTGCCATGGTTACATGGTCACTAGGCTTGGGTTAGGGCTTGAGGTTGCTAGGGGACTGAATGCACCGCACATAGGTACTGCAAACAGACAATGTAACAGGAGCGAAAAAAGTAAATTACAGTGCATTGGAACCAGGAAAAGAAGCCTCTTTTCTCCTCTAATGGTCCTAAGTGCTCTCTACTGACAAAGGGTAACATATTCAATGTAAAAAATTTAGAGTCCAACCCATTATCACAGAGCACATACTGAAGGGGTGAATTTGGAGCTGAGAGCCAATAGTGTTAGTAGGTATAGTTGTATTCTCATTCTCCTTTATGTGATGAGTCATTTGTCTCCGTTCAGCAGTTTGACTATTATATGTCTGAGTGCAGAATTTCTTTGTATTTATGTTACTTACGATTTACTGAGCTTTTTGATTCTGTAGAATAATATTTTAATGAAATTTGTGGAGTTTTTGACTCTTACTTCTTTAAGTATTCTTTTTCTTTTCTCTCTCCTTCTGGGACTCTCATTATATATACATTGGTATGCCTGAACATGTCCTACAGGTATGTGAGTTCTGTCCACATTTCTTGAGACTTTTGCTCTTCTTTCTTGTTTCGATTGGATAATTTCTGTTGAGCTGTCAAGTTCTCTGATTAATCTGTTGTCTCAAAACTGCTGTTGCCCATCTAGTGATTTTGTTTGTTTTAATTACTGTATGTTTTAACTCTACAGTTTCCTTTGGTTGTGTAATTATTTTTTTATTGAGATTCCTCCTTTTTAGCAGTTATTATATTTTAATTATTTTAAATGATTTTCCTTAATTTTTTGAACATATGTTTAATAGCAACTTTGATGTCTTTGCTAAATCCAACTCAAAGTTAATTTCTATTGACTAGTTTTTCTCCTTGAATCAATCACATTCTCTTTTTTGCATATATTATAATATTTTGTTGAAAACTGGCTCTTTTGGATAATGTATTGCAGTAATTCTGGGTAATTTTAGATAATGTATTGCAGCAATTCTGGATATTTTTCATGTAGGCTTTAAAATTTTTTTGTAGCTTGTCTGGACTTAAGCTGCAGAGTACACCCTTTCTTATGATGTATTGCTCTGATTTCTCTGCTCAGCTTTTTAAATTTAAATTTAAATGTTCTATTTTAGCTTCCTAGGAGGTTACACCTCTGTCTGCCTAGTTTGGTGGTTAGCCACTGCTAGCTCAAATGCTGGGGCCTGGAAGGCTCCTGCTTCTGTCTGCCGATATGTGCACGGGTTGATTGGAGAGCACTTGAAAAACTGAGGCCATTTCAGGTCTGCCCTGGCTTTTATTTTCTGCTAGGCCCTCTTGCATCTCCACTGTGGTCAGGGATATGAGTGGAGAGCCGGGGCCGTCTCTGCCCTTCCCTCCCTGTGCATGCGGTCCCCCAGTCAGCTGGGGTTATGAGGACAGTTTACCCAGTCCTTCGATGGCTTTTTTATTTCCCCATTTCCTGGTTAAATTTATGGCTGATCCGCCAGTCTTTCACTCACCCCAGCCGCAACTGTGGTGTCAGGCTAGAGAGCTGTGTGATTTCTCCATTTGTTTCCTACCAACCTTGATCATTTCACTGGTAACACTGCTGGGTGTGAGCTTTTTCCCTGGGTTTCAAATCCAACCTGTTCTTTCTGGCGTCAACCCTGCTGCCTTTCCTAGCCAGTCTGATCCTGGTAGAACCACTGTGCCAGCTGAGCTGTGTAAAGGGAGATTGGAACAACCCCAGAACAGGCTGCCTTCTCCTCCCTTCATGCCTAAGTACTAGCAGCTTTCCATAAGTCAGTGCTTCTCACTTTATTTGCCTTCAGTTCAATTCCAGATGCTCAGAATGGTTGCTTTTTACAGTCTTGTTCAGTTTTATCAGTTTAGTGGGGAGATTTTCTGATGTCACCACTCTACCAATAAGCAGATAGCCTGTATTTCGAATCTTCTTAAACCTTTTACTCATTTGACATTCAGTATTAATGTTGAGATGTCTCAGTTTTGTGTATGCTGTCAAGATGTCCCAATGATATCTATTTAGGGTTTTAATTTAAATTAGAGTAAGCTCTTTATACTAATTATTATATAGTGTGTTTAGATATCAATACCATCTTCTTAAACATTTTATTTAGGAACTTATGATGTGATGACCCCAATGGTTGATATACTTATGAAACTTTTTCGAAACATGGTGAATGTGAAGATGCCATTTCACCTAACCCTTTTAAGTGTGTGCTTCTGCAACCTTAAAGTAGTAAAAACTGCTAAGAAAGGGACTATTGATTATTACTTAACACCGTCATTATCAACAACTTCACACTCTGGCAAGCGCAGTTTTGTAAGTACACTATTATTGGATTTGTGTAGTTAAATTACAAATTTCATTTTGTGTTTGATAAAATTTAGAGTTTCTTTTGGGTCATAGTTTTTGAATGACTTGTGTATATGATACCTATCATACTACAGTTGCTAGCCTTGACTGTATTGCACCGTGATCAAGAAGAAAATGTAGGTATCACTGGATAAAAAAAGAAAACCATTATAGAAATTTTCTTTTTAGCACCCCCTCAGTGTTTTGTTAAAGCATTTAAATTTTCTTGGTTTTGAAATGAAATTGAATTCTAATAGCAATATTGATAGAAAATGACTACTCATTAAACAATTGTCATATTTTCAGATGGGTAAAACAAAACTCTGTATATGGCCATTTGGCAAATGTCTCTTTACTAAATGTGGTGTGCTTTAAAAAATAACCATCTTTTACTAAATTGTCTATGCCTACAATGAACTCTTAAAGTGTTTTCATTATTTTCCTTATAATTTTTTATTGTTTAATTGGTCAGTATAATTTTAGTAATATTTTATTTACATTTAAGTTTAAAATGAGAACAGAATAGAAACTCTGCTATAGAAATAATGAATTGGTACTCACTTCAAATTACTTTTTTTCCTCTGACCAATTTTATTCCGTTTATTAACTAAAATTCTAAAAGGTGTTGACTTTTTACTTTATAATTTGTAGTATGAGAATTAAAGGTCTTTAATTTACAGTGGTATTAGAGAGGTAAGTATAGGTGAAAGTACCTTGTGTAATTCTGGTACTCAATAAATACAGTGGACCAAATCTCTTCTCCTTTCATTTTTTTGACGTTACTGTGTTGATATTTCCTGAGTTATATTTGACTGTGTATACATTTCCATGATACTTAAAATTATATGGAAATTGAAGTGAAAAGTTTACATGAAAAATTATACAAGTTAGAATTGAAGGTGTTTTTAAGTTTTTATGTATGTATAAAAGAGGTTAGTAAAGGGTAAAGGGGGTCAATTACATGGTGAGGGAAAAAGGCTTGACTTTGGGTGGTGGACACAGTGCAGTACGGAGATGATGTAACAGAATTATACACTTGAAACCTATATAATTTTATTAACCAATGTCACCCCAATTAATTTAGTTTTTAAAAAGTGTTGTACGTTAATAATGATTTTAGATTTTTACCATAGAAGTATTTTTTTTTTCTTCTTGTTAAATGATAAGAATTTAGAATAGGGATTTTTAGAAAACTATTCCATGATGCTCTGTGCATACATATTAGTAAATCTATTTTTATATATTTATACATATATATAAATACTTAGGTACCCCTCAATGAACCATTTACTTTTCTAGGCCATTATTCTTTTACTCACAGAATTGGAAGTTTGAATACATGATTGTTAAGACCCTTTCTATGCCTCTAAATGCATACCTACTTTCTGGCTCAGTGCTATTTTGGAAGGAAACCTTTTCCTAGAATAGTGAGTAAGGATCCACACAAGTGTGACTAATCGTGATGAATTAATCATCTCTAGTTGTTTGGAATTGGCTGAAAGGATTGAAATTATTGGGTAGGATAGAAACACATCAGTCAGATAGTAGGAATAGTTACTCTTCAGCAGCATGAATAGTTAAAGATATTAGATATCTAAATTATTCTGTTATCTTTTGTTCCAGAAAATGAAAGATGCTCATTTGGAGAATTTTTCCAAAGACAAAGAAACAAATTGGAATATTCTACCAACTGGAAGAATTGAAAGTATAAGAACTGGGGAGTCTCCACTAGGTTCTATAAATTTTTCCAAAGAAGGCAGTGATGAATTCCCACTCTCTTCACTTCCTGAGGGTATTGACCAAGAAGTCTTTAAGCAGCTTCCAGTAGATATTCAAGAAGAAATCCTTTCTGGAAAATCTAGAGAAAAAGTTCAAAGGAAGGGAAGTTTGAGTTGTCCATTACGTGCCTCTAGAGGAATATTATCTTTCTTTGCTACAAAACAAACGCAGGATAGTCCCTTAAATCCTAGAGATCATTTCTCTAATAGCAACAAGACACCCTGTGCATCTCCCTGTGAACCAGGAACCTCAGGCTTAAATAGCAGTAGTTCCTCTTATCTATCAAGCCAGAAGGATTATTTGCATTCCGTACACAGTATATTAAAAGATGAGCAAATGAGTCAAGGACCTAAAGAATCTCAAAAATCCCACTTTCCAAGTAGGAACCCCGCTGTGTCCATTTTCCATTCATTTCCAAATTTACAGAGTGAGCAACTTCTCTCCAAAAACCTCACTGCAGATAGCCATAAACAACTGACAGCAACAGTGTTGCATCATGCAGGACTTGCAGAAAACAGAGAGCAAGATTCTTCTGCTGAGAAAATTACTTTTCCTTCTGATGTTGATCCTGATGTTTTCTATGAACTACCAGAAGAGGTACAAAAAGAACTGTTGGCTGATTGGAAGAGGACATGATCAGGTTTCCACAGTGTACCTAAATAAACGTGCTCAGGAAAAAAGATCTAAAAAACAAGGGAAAGACATTGTTTTCAGATTAGCATTTTATTAAACTCGTCTAAATTAAACACTAATAGATAATCAGTAATGTAGCAATCCAATATAAAATGTCCCAAATAAAGCAGAGTAGTTATGGGAAGTAAATTCTGGCACAAAGTATAAAAAATTTATAACAGAAGAAGTAATATATAACATTACCTTCCTCTTATTTCTAAAACTATTTTATATTGCTTTTCAATAAAAAATATTTTGGTAAGCATTAGTACATTTTTCCATAAATTGAGGGGAAAGGTATATATGCCTGCGTATAAAATACAGACTCAATCATTGCTATGCTATAGCAAAGAACTTTTTTTCTATGAAAATTCAGCCAATTAAGAAACAGCCAAATAAATTATACTGCCAATTTACAGATTAAAATGTAGATATCTTTGAAGTACTATGTGCCATTTATTAATTAAAAAAAAGTGATGTATATTCAATCGATGCTTCTTACTACACCTAGAACCTACCACAATGCCTGGCTCACAGAGGACACTCAGTAACCACTGAATCAATGGATTGTATGGCAGGGACCAGCTTGGGAGTTGGGCAGGGGAGTGTGTGTACATGTTGAGAGAGCTAGAAGGAGCCTCCCATGCAGGTAGAGTAAGGGAAGAGTGGACACCGGAAGTGCAAGGTGGTGGGCCGATAAGAATTCTAGATGGTGGGAGAAGTCGTTTCCTTCTGGCCGGTCTGTGGGGTCTACAAGCAGTGGATTACATGTTTTTGCATTGTCCCAAATTTTGGAGATGAGGTTAAGAATGTCCCAACAAACATACAGTTAGCAAATTGATGGATGTTATCTTTCAACCGTTGTCACTGCCTACGCCTTTTGCCTATCAGATTAAAAATTGGGTAAGAATGTGGACATTTTATAATTTCTGTGACAGGATGTTTCTAGAGCACACCCAGGTATCCCTTAACACTGTTTAGACGTGTCCTATTTATAACTTCTGCAAATACAACTTAAAGAAAAGACAAAAATAAAGTATACAAGTGTGAATAAAGAATAGCCTAAAAATACTTTCTTTTTGTTAAGAAGTTTGAACTTCATGTCAGATTTTTTGAAATTTGAAAATTCCCTAACCATCAAGGATTTTTAATGGGAGTTTGAGGTTATTAAAAAGAATAACTTGTAGCAAGAACATCAGAAGTTGTTCACTATGCAAATATTTAGTACTGTGACCAAGGACTATAGAAGTTTCTACATGTAGTATTCTGATAAGGTAGTTAAACTCATGAGATTATCACTTTTTTAGATGAATCATTTTTAAAAATAGATCCAACAATCCTTGTAACCATTTCAGCCAGAAATCAGTATCTGACTATTTAAGTTATCTTTTGTCTGCTTTTAATAAAATAATCTTCTTTGGTGTTCTACAAATTTATAATGTTTGGAAGCATGAATTTATTTTTATTTATTCTTGATACATGCTGGTATCCTGTATCTTTGAATTCATGTTAATTCTCATATTCTTAAACCACTAGCCCTTCAAATATCACTTCACTGTTCTAAGACTCTGGGTCGCTGAAATGATGGGACTTTCTTTGTTCTTCATGTCCCTTAATCTCTGCTACATTTCATTATCTAGTTTGTTTATCTGCTACATTTTGGCTAATTTCCTCAGCTCTGTCTCTTGTTCACTTATTTTTTTCATAAGTGTCTAATCTACCATTTAAATCAGTAATGATGGTTTTAATTTTAATAAGTATTTTTCTAATATTCCTTGTAAAAACTCATACATATTTTATATTCTACATCTGATGGTTTCAATACTAAAATTTTTATAAGTGTAAATTTTCTGATACTTGTGTGTACCATTTTAACTTGTTTATTTGTGTGGCTCAACTTAATCTGTGGGAAGACAAGGGACCTGAAGTGTGGCTGCCTCCCTTCTGGGTGCTTTGCGTTTGCTCCCAGTGAGGCAGTGCCAATCCAGTGGCACCGCTCTAGCCCCTTCTAGGTCCTAACTCACGATAGTTGTCCCAATTTGAGCTGCCTGACCTTGCTACTGTCCTAAGGTTTTCTCTCCAGAGGTCAGTTGCAGGCCATTTGCCTTTAGGGTAAACTCTACCTTCCAAGCTGTTTGCCTGATGCTTCCTGCTCCTTTCCTGCTTTTGTTTCAGCGTTTTCCCCCTCCCAGTGTGAGGGTAGAGGGGCGGGGCTTAGAAATTTCTTTCACGTAGCACAATCAGCAGTGGATTACAAAGTGTTCTGTATTGGGGGACCTCTTAGGCATGTCTGTCCCACCATAGTGTGGAAGTACAAGTTTGGATTTATTTTTTCCATCTTACTATTTACTACCTATTTTTCCCTTGTTCTGTGCAATATATCTTTCCCATCTTTATCCCTTTTCTCTCTTTTTGGATTGGCTATTGATTGTTTTCCATCTACTGAATTGAAATTTAAACATTCTATTATAAGTATTGTACTTTTGATTCCCTTTAAAAATTTAAGATGCTTAACCTCTAAAAATGGTAAATATCTGTACCCTCTTTGCAAATGCAAGGATGTTAAAATATATTAATTCTAGTCAAATTCCTCTAGTTCTTAATTTAACCTCCCATTGGGATATTACTATTTTTACCAAGTCTTTAGGTTTGCCCATGTTATTCTTTTGGTTCACTTTTTTTCTTGCATCTCAGACATTCCTTCAAAGTAGAATTGTTTTTACTTTCTGAAATTATGACTTTAGCACTGCACATTTAAAATTGATTTCTCTTGGGCTGTTTTTAAGATACTTGAATCTTTGGAAATATGCAGTTTTTATTCTGTGTCTAGCTAGATTTATTTTTATCATGTTCTAAACATAGCTCACTGATGCTCTGTTCATTTTTTTTCATTCTTTGTTTCCATTTGGATAGTTTTTATTGCTTTGTCTTCATGTTCACTAATTATTCTTCCATAGTATTTCATCTGCTATTTCTGTTCAGTGTAGTTTTTATGTCACACATTTTATTTCTCTGGATGTCTGATTGGGTAATTTTTGTATCTGTGTCTCTATTAAATATGTTCAATTTTTCTCTATCCTCTTGCACATATGAATAATTAATCATAATAATTGTTTTAAAGTCCTTCTATAGCTCATATCTGTGTATATTTCTATTGATTTTATTATGGGTCATATTTTTCTACTCTATGCATGCTTGGTAATTTTTAAAATTGTATTTTAGATACTGTGAATTTTACCTTGTTGGAAAATGGTGGTTTTTGTTTTTTCATAAATATCTATGAGTTGTTCTTGGTAGCTTTAAAAAGTTACTTTATTGCATGTGACCAAAACAGCATTTATTCCAGGAACAATATTACTCTATTACTAAGGCAAGATCCTTCTGAAGACACATTATGTGCCCTGTGACTTGTGAGGTTTTTTTACTCTGGTCATAAACATGAAATATTTCTGGTCCTGTGCAGGCTCAGGAGACTTGTTCCCTTTGCACCTTTCAGGTGGTTCCTCTCCGCAGGTGTGTAATTTCTTGGACTCACCAGTCCAGGCCCCTCTCTTCGGCAATGCTCTGCGCTGTGAACTCGAGCCACTTCGGTGTCTCCATGTGCCAGCTCTGCCCAGTCCACAGACCACTAGGTTCTCTCTTGACTCTCCTCTCCCAATGCTGCACCCTGGAAACTTTAGAGAAGTGAGCGAGGACAATTTTAGGGCCTCATCCTTACACTTCTAAGAGTAATTTCTTCTCTAAATGTTCCTTTCCATAGCATCCTGTTCTTGTTTATTGGATGCAATATTTTCTCATCTCTGTAAAGATGTAGTGATAGAATTTCCAAAGATTTCCTTCTACTTGAATTTGCTTTCATTTGTTTGATGAAGAGTGTGGGACTAAAAATATGATTGTTTCTGCTGGCAGCTTACTCATGCTGACCTTTTTTTCTCATGTGTCCTGGATTTTGGAATGTGGGCTCACATTTGCTAGGCTTTATTTGTGGGAGTCCTTAACTGTGAGGTCTGGATACCAAGTGCCCCTCTTGAAAATATTTGCACTTGCCTCTGCCAGCACTTGGGAACCGCAAGCTTGGACCATTTTAATTTTTCATTTTGAAAATTAAACCCTAGATCTGGGCTGACTGTGGACATGAAATTCCCCGGGGATATTCCTATCCCCTCTTGCTACCCCATTAGTTTTGTCTTTTATTTTGTAGTTGGATTATTTTTTCTATATAGTTCACCATTTTGCTGAGAGAATAGTCCCACAAGGTTCTTGTCAATCTCATCCCAGTTACCTTGTGTGAGTCCAAGGGTTTGTCTTCCATCTACAAACTTAGATTTAATTATTTTGTTTTCTTAAAACATTCCTCTCTTTTGCATTCTACACGACTTGGAAATAAATTGTTCATTTGTGTGGAATTCACTCTCATCCTGTTACCTCACAGTGTTCCTTGGTGCTATTTTTTTCCGTATATAACCTTGTCCTATAAAGTTGACTCATGTTAACAATGATGTCTCACTTTGAGTTTACAGAGTTTTTCCTGTTTTTGATGTATAGAGGCAAGACTCTCATAATTTCGTACTTGGGGTATCCTTCCTTTCTTTCCTAAATTGTGTTTATTACATATTAGATATACCAAAGATTAAAATACTACTAATAAAGTATTTTTAAATATGTTAAGGTCCTCTGAGAAAACTATAAACTTTCAAATGCTGTTTTGGTCAGGAAAGAGAAACTTCTATAGATATTTTAAGCCATGAGAAATTTAATGTAGTGAATTAAATGTTTACAAAATCATGTGGAAGCTGACGATATGGTTTCTAGGCTTGGACTCCAGAACCAAATCTGGGAACTAGACAGAAGTAGTCCACCAGTTAAACTGTCTCTTTTGAAACCATCAGCAGAACTATGGATGCAAGAAGCTGGAGTCAGTATATGATCACCACTGACACTGCTGCTTGACATTTAGAAGCCTGGAGAGCAGGTACCCACAACTGTCGCCTGGTAATCAGGAACCAAGACTTGGGAAGCTGCTGCTCCCTCTGTCTTTGATGCGCCCGCCTCTTGGCACACAAGAATCTGGCAGGTGGACAGTGGAACAGAGAGAAAAAAGCTCCACTTTTCCTTGTCTTTGATAGCTAGCAGAAACAACAACAAAAGAACAATGGTCTCTGCCTCAACTCTCACAAGACTTCAGCCAATGAGTGTAACCTCATTTGCAAACAGAAGACTAGGTACAATCAACCCCTGGGATGCATGTTTTTCTCAGTTTTCCATCCTCTCTAATTAGAAGCAAGGTAGAATGGAGGTAAGCAGGCCAATGCACAGAATCTGCCAACTCTAAGCAGGTGTGTTTGTGTCTGCATATGCACATATATGTAAAATATCTGTTAAAAATTTTAAAAGTGGTTACTACAGTGTATTTGTGTCAGTGGCAATTTCTTTTTGTCCCATATTACAAAATTGTACTGTAATAAAATTCAGCCTGCAGTTGATTTTTGGAAACTAATTGGATATAGATATACTGAGATAGAAAAATTAGAGGTATTAATAGAATATTCCATCTTTAAATTTAGCCAAACTATCATATTCTAGTTCATTGTAAATTTTTTTGTTGTAACACCCTAAGAGTAAAAAAAAATTGGGAGGTACACACTCCTAATACCTGAATATTTAACTATGGATAACACCAAAGTTTAGCTTTAGCCTTAGTATTCAGTCAATTTCAGTTATTTGCCCACTGAGTAGCTGAATAGTCAACTAGTTCAGGATCATTCGTGGCATTACTAAAATTGCATATGAAATTATGTGATTATGTAGGTTACCATCATATCTAATCAGTGTTAATAAATCCAGTCATAAAAATAAGGCATTTAGATTTATCATTAGCATCTGGATATTCATTTTCAAATAGAGGTAAGCCTTTCAGATTTGGCCAAATAAAATCTCATGAGTTTTCTCTAATAATCCCATCAGTCAAATTAAATTGTTTCAAAGTAAAATGTTCATTAATGATTGTGAACACTATGTAGAAAACAATGATTAACATTATTGAATAGGGAAATAAATAGTTGATATGAATATTGAGAGTAAATGCTTGATAACTTTATGATGACCATATATTCTTTTCGAGTAAAAAAAATGTATTTGTGTGTGTGTGTGTGTGTGTGTGTGTGTCGGGGGGGATTATTTTGGTAATAGGTAACTGCTATAAAAGTTGGTACTTGAAAGTGGAGAGCTATGCAACAAAAAATGGTGTATTGGCTTTTGAGCAGTAGGGAGTTTAGAAGACTGTTAGCAGAGGATGGAATCATGGTGAAGAAACTATGAAGAAGCTGTTATGAAACATTTGCTAAAATAGTTGCCTGTGTACCTTGGAAAACAGAAAATATACCTAATGAACTTTGGCTTTGGGCAAGGACATCTCTAGGTAAAATGCGGAAAGTGCCACCTGGTGGCTTGTAGCTGCATAGGCTGAAGGACTACAGAAAGTTGAGCTTTTAAACAAAAACAAACAAAAAATCTGGTTAGGTTGTAAGCAGAAGTTAAAGGTGTTATAGAGAGCCAGAGCCACTAAGTTGGAAAATATTATTTTCCAAATAATTCTGTGGGCAGTACAGTGTTAAGCACTAGCTTAGGTCTAGGCTAGGAGACAAATGTGGTGGAATGAATTTTCCATTGTAATGACCTGTTCCATCATCTCACAGAGTCTATTATGCTGACATAATAGAGGTAATGCCAGAATGACATTAACATATTTTCCTTGTTGAAAATAAGGAGATTATGCTTGTTGTTAAAAGAAAATTTGTTATAGTCCATGAGCAAATATGGGTCTTTTGTGAAGGATATTGGGGTGGTAGTTAGCCCAGGTTTTGGAGAATCAGAAAGACTTGAGTTTTAATTGGGGTTCAGCAGCTTATTGCTCTCTAACTTATTTTCTCTGAATTTCAGTTTCCTTACTGGTCAGATAAAGCATGCAAAATAGCTCAAAGCACAGTACACTAAACAAGAGCAGGAGAAATGTTAAGAAAACTATCAGTATGAATTGATACATTCAAAGAAATTGGTTAAAGAAAATTCAGCACTGATCACGGAATGACCGATTACAACTTTTTGTTGATTTTAACTCCCACACTTCTTTTTTACCACTAAAAATGAGATGGATATGGTCTGCTTTCAAAACACAGAAAATGGCAGATCTATGATTCAGGCAGCATTTTGTGTTATATGCAATGAGTAAATTTTTATCTGCCCTCATTTAAAAAATGAGATAACTCAATGACAGCTGTATGAGAATGATGAAGACCAGTCCTTAGTGGTATATGCTGCAATGGAGCTAACTGGGTGGGTACTGTTAACGCAGCTACGGTTCAGTCTGGACTCTGAAACTTAGCACTTCAGATATATCAGAAACCTTGTTGGAAAATAATAATTACAACACTTAAATGCCCATATTCCCAAGTAGTTTATAGTAGGGAAGTCTATTCAGAGAGTAGTGGTCAGATTAAATAGAATTATGGAGAGAAACAGGGTTCTAGGCCACTGTCCTGCCAAAGTCCCTTCGCCATGACTTACCCTGAGTTGTCTGGCTCCAAAGATCTTCACGGTAAGAACTGGTATGTTTCAAGTGAATAAAGCTAGTTAGGAAATGATTACACATTGTGAGTGACATTTTAGGGGCTAAGGCTACCCCCAAAACCCTCGCCTTCTAAAAGAAATGTAAGCACATTTAGGTTAAGAGTTGTCTTCAGGAGTTTTATCAGTTACTGGATATGCCCATTCTACACAATTCAAATATAAAAATGATATATTTAAAATTAATTTTGTTTCTTAGTAGTTTTAAAATATATGCCATGAAGTTTCACCCTAGAGGTATCTATCTGTCCTCAGTGCTTAATGTTATATATATGCTGCAAAAAGGCCAGGACATGCCATTAATCATTGACCATGATGTAAATGTCGGCTCTAGAGTTGGGTAAAAACATCAGGCTTATCTGCATTATACATGTATTTATTAGCTTCACCAACTCAATAGAAAATAAAGAATTGAAAATATATTTCTTCCAAAACATGAGTTAAAGGAAAAAATTATTAACTCATAGTAATTCTAAAATATGGGCAAAATGTCCCACCTTACAACCGATAGCATTCATATTTCACTCACAGCGCTTGCAGTACACCACATCAATAAAGTCCCGGGGGGAAATTGAACCCCTGGCAAAACTTTGTGTAATGGCACGACATACGAACGTGTCCTGAAACACATCAAACCATGAAGATTGCAACAATTATTTAAGATCTATTCTTTGTACTGCTCCCCAAAGAATTTCACTGCGGAAGACAGAACTAGAACCCAGATTTCCTGACTTCCAGTACAGGACTATTCCTACTACTCCACATTGGCCAGGTAATATATTATGAAGAGTATATTGATTTAGCGCCTATAGTGTAAAGCCTAAAATGAAACGACCTATATTATGTGCTGACAAAACATCTGATGAAAACAGGGTCTTGAATGTCCTAACTGCAAATCCCTCTCCGGAGTATCCCCGCAGATAAGGACCCTTAGCCAAACACCCCTCCAATCAACAGGATCAGGCACAGTTCCTCCCTACCCCTGAGTAGTGGCTTTCAGCTCCCTGCTGGCCAATCGCGTCTTCCCACAGGAATTGGGGGTCACCTCAGCCTGTCGATACTACAAAGCCTGCCTCCTGGTATTCACTCTGTTCCTGAGCACCACTCCCATGTCCCACTGAGCGGCATGATGCATCCTTGAGAGTTTAGCCAAGCTACTCCATGGTATTGCCTCAGCATCCACTTTGGTAAGGGCCCTGCAGGGCCCTTAAACGGACGCTAGCCCCCCTCACACCAAGTGCATGCCCTAGAAAACAGCCCACATTCACAAACAAATCCAAGTTCCTAATATGACTTTCCCAATAGTCCCGTGTCCAACAGTCTCCCCAGCCTCCCGGGGCGTTCCCCTTTGAGAGCCCCTTAGAAAATCCCCACTGTGGAGCTTATCAAATCCTGCTCTTCTTGGTTTGAATCGGGCAATCATGTCAGCCTGGGAACCCCAATGATGCGCTCCACCCACAGAGCCTAGCGAAGACGCGTTCCTCAGGTCCTGCCTCTGCCGCTACCTGTACCCTACCTTGACCTCCCTGGGTGGCCCCTCGAGGCTTGCTGTGTACTTCCTCCAGGACCCGTGAGTGATAAACTTCTCTATTTCAATTTCTCTTGTGGTCTTTTGTTGAAACATGGCTCACCACCCAGCATCCTGCACTCTATTTAAATCTTAACGAAGTGGTAACAGTCCTTCCCTGGGTTGAGACTAATTATTAATAAACCAATGTTGATCTTATCTGTCTAGTGGCAGGTGTCATTTGTTTTACTACCCCTGTAACCGTAGAGCAGAAATCCCACCCTCACCAAGGGATGAATGGGTTAAAACACATCCCCTGAAAATGGACATGATAAATATTCATAGGAAGACAAATTAATCCTTCCTATAGGGTAATGCTATTCAGAGATATTGTGGACTCCTGGAAAGGGCCCGAAATTTAGACCAGGAAATCAGGTGGAAGTCCTGGTTCTACCATGTATTGGCTGTGCTGACATTGAGCAAGTCACATATTTTCTCTGACTCTGTTGTCAGGTTTTTTTGATGCAAGTTTAGTATTCTTTCCATTATGACAGCTGTGTTGCAGCGACAGCAGAAAGACCTGATATGCTAATGAACTATATAATTAGTCTAATACAGTTATGAATGAAACAATCCAATGTGTTTGGATTTGCCTTTGTGATGGGCCATGTTTCCCAAACTGAACATCCAAATCCAAAGAGGGCATGTGTTTTCTGTGACCTGACTTACCTTCCTAGGCTTTTCTATAATTTCTCCCCACTCCCAGACTTTAAAATCAGTTTAATAAAAGCAGATAAAGTTAACCCACAGAGTTCTAAATAAATGATAAGATGGTGGCAGATTTATTTGTGGGACATTTGTTTGATGAGTGAAATGTGATTTGGAGACTCAAAGAACCAAAGATCCAGTGATGTGGAATTTTATAAATGCAATTGTTTGTGAAAAATCATAAAAGTTTGCTTTACTCCAACATTCACATTTATCACCTCTTTCTAATACTCATTAGCCAAAAAGGCACAACTCACGTTTAAAAATAGCCTACTGAGCTATAATCTACATACCGTTAAGTATAGCAGTCAATAAGAGACCTATGGTATGCTGCACCAAAGTTCAGAATCCCTTACCCCACTCCTCTCTTCTTGTTTCCATCTCCTTTTATGTCCCATTAGTGCCCTCATTTAGTTCATTTTCATGTCCTCATGAGTTTTCACCCTACCTTCACCTCATAGTGATCTCTTCTTCTTCCCCCTTCTAAGCCATACTTGCCTCTATGACACACTTTTTACACCAATCACCTGTTCTTTTCTCTTTGTTTATATTCTCCCTCTTTCTGTTTAACTGAGATAACGTATTTAAAGGTGTTCCTAAAATCATAACCATGTATGCTATTTAGCATATTATCCTTTAAAGAAAAGTTACATGCTGTTCTTAAGTCCCTACAGTGTGTGTCTGCCTTCTTCCTGTTATCTGATGTATTGTCACTATTATAAATTTACTACTTCCCTTTAACAAGGCATGCTTAATCTTTTTTTCCACCTATTGTTGCAGACTCCATGAGTTTGTCCCCTCATAACCGAAGGCACACATCTTTGAGATAGCTAACCAGATTCAGTGTGCGGTATGCATTTAAAACAGATAGAAGCTAACTGGAATTAAACTCTTGAGTAATAAAGAGGAAAGTTTTAAGGCTTTTATAAAGATTTAAAATTAATGTGAATCGATAAAATATGAAGTGTCTACATAATATAGGTGTAATAAACTCAAATCCTTAAGATATTAAACTAAAACTATATTAATACTGAAAAAGTCTAATATTAAACAAATTACCAAATCAATCTTGTGTATCATATTGTATACTTTTAATGATTTATCCCATTAAGTTCTATTTTCAGGTTTATAAAAAAAAATCAGATAGTTTAGTGTTGATTCTGGAATTATTCCTTCAACATGATATTTATAGTTAACAACATTTTAAAAATTCAAAATTTAACATGTTTAGTGTAAGTTGGAAATATGTTATCACAGTATAACAGACTAATTTAGCAATCAATGGTAAAGAAAACTTGAAGGAAATATCAGCAGTTCAAAACACTGTTGCTCAATTAGAAGTAGCAAGGTCTATTATATATTACAATAATTAATATAAATTATTTAAAAATTCATTTTTTTTACAAATTTATGTGTAATGTTCCTATGGTTGCCCTTTTTAAAAGGCTACTTTCACTTAGTATTTTTCTAAAATCTTCCTTATCAACATTTACTTGCTGTATTTATAATAAGCCAACAGTAATCAACGAGAAGCGTGTGTGGTTATACAGTACCTTGTGGGCCCAATTCTTAATTTAAGAATGAAATATGGTCTAAATCAGCGGTCAGCAAACTTTTCAGTAGAGGGCCAGATAGTACACAATTTAGACTTTGTGGGCCACATGGTCTGTGTTGCAACTATTCAACCCTGCTAGTGTAGACAATGTATAATGAATGGGCATGTATGTGTTCCAATTAAACTTTATTTAAAGACAGTGACTTTTGAATTTCATTTATTTTCACATGTCAGGATTTGGGCAAGCAACCAACATTTTTGTTTATCCATCAATAAAATTGGGTTTTCTTATCCATCAGTGAAATTAAGAAAACTGGACTAAAATCTACTATGTAGCAGAAGGCTGGCAAATAAAAATTAAGTCTGACCAATATTGGTTTTATTGTCTCTCCTTGTTAATCATAGTTTCTAAACTAAGGGAATAGATTTAACTAAAATCAAATTTTCAAGCCTCTAAAAAGTTAAAGTTTCTGGAGGAAGTGAGATGAAAACCAGGTGCTATCATTGCAGAAAATAGTTGTCATACTTATGAAGAGTTCTTCCTCTGAACCTTTGTTTTTATGATTTGGTAAATAAATAGGGAAATCATTAGACTATTTGTTAATTTCTTTTTAAAGGCTCAGTTGGTTCCTAACTTTCTCTTTGAGACAGCCTCAAATTTTCTTAGTATGCATGATTTCCTTCCTTCAGATGTGGCTTGGCTAACTTGCAAGTATTACCCCCAAGCCACAAATTGGTTAATTAGCAAAGGGCTGAAGTCTTACTGGCACAAAAGACCTAAGTGTAATCTCTGAGCCATCATCAACTGAACAGTAAGCTATTTGACAACTGTAAGTTAAAATTATACTCATGGCGGTAGCCTGGAAGAATGTGTATGCTCAAGGCTGGGCCCTCTGAGCAATGACTGGCAACACAACTTCGAGCTGCCAGTCCCTGACTAACTGAAGGGCAAAACCATAACACTCGCTGAACTGTGAAAACAGTCTCCAGAGAGGTAGGCAGGGACCCGAGGGTGCCTTGTAGAGTATGATAAATGATGTGCATTATATTTTAGATGCAATGGGAAGCTTTTAGAACATTTTCAGCAGGGAAGTGACACAATCTGAACTGTATTTCAAAAATCTCTTAGGCTATTGTGGGAAGAATGGGATGTAGCTGAGTAAGAAAGTACACGTGGAAGCCATCAGGAGGTACGGAGATGATCCAGTTGACATGATGGTGGCCTCCAGTAGGATGGTGGCAGGGAGACAATGAAGGACAAATCACTTCTCTCTGTACATATCTAGTCTACATATCTACATACATATTAGAGCTTCTATTAGAATCCAAATCTGAGGTAAGTGATCCATCACGTAGGCCAGTATTTTACAATCATCTAAAACATTTGGAAAAGCTTTAATTAAAGCTAAACAAGTTTCTGTACTTTAGGACTGCTCTGAACTCTAGAGTGAATCTCCAAGAGGAGAATATAGTCTGGAGTATTTTGAAAAACTTATTTGACAATTCATTCCATTTTCCCCATACATTTTGAAGGGTTGTATTTCTCACATGCTAGTTTGGCAAAGTGCATTAGACTATACTATACACCCCAAAGTGTACAATGCTTACACTCAGTTGCCCATTCTACTTTCATATGCATCTGTTCCTTGCTTTAATTACTTGCAACTCTTTAAATAAAACTGAAGCCTTGAAGTATTGCAAAAAATTTAAGCTTCCCTAGTTTTTTCCCATTCATCTGACCATAGTCTCACCTCTCAGTCTAGCTCTAGGCTGGGAGAGGTAAACTTCAACTGGATAGACCAACCTCACCAACATGATCAAATTCCTTTGTAAGAACCTAAATGCTACAGTTGATTGAGAATAATACTGATATTTTGAAAAAGACAAATGGTCCCAATCATTCTCTCCTTCTGTAAATAAATAAGACAAACTTGGAATCAGTAGGTTGTGCTTGAGAAAACAAGCATGAAAAATTGAATTTCATGTGCCTTACATCTAAATCAAAACCATGTTTGATACTCATTGGACTATAGCTCCACTGTTAAAAAAAATAGTTTGCCAAAATTGGATGTGATAGGCAGCCTCAAACCCAGTCTCCCATTGATATCCACTTCCTGGTGTTCGTGTACTTGTGTAATCGCCTCCCCCTGAGTCAGGGCTGGATCTTGTGCGATTCACTTCTAATACACTGAATATTGCAGAAGTGACAGGAAATCACTTCCAGCATTAGGATGCAGCACGCCTTTGGCTTCTGTCTTGATTGCGCCCTCTTTTTCTTGCCCTCTCCCAGAGCCCTCGCTCTGAGGTAGCACAGTGCTTGCTGTGAAGAGTCTTATGGAGAGGCACTTGGGTCAAGGAACCGAAGCCCTCAGTCCAACAGGCCCACGGATCACTGAATCCTGCCCACCACGTGAGTGTGAGAGCAGAATTGCCTTCAAATGGAGCTCAATTCCAGCGAATGCCTTGAATGCAGCCTTGTGAGAATGATGGTGGCAGGGCACCAGGCTAAGCTACACCTCAATTCCAGACCCACAGAAGCCATGACATAATAAATGTCTGTTAAGTCACAAAGACATGGGGTGAGTCACTAAGCTATGGGGTAAGATGTTGTGCATCTATAAATAACTAGTACACAGTTTATGTAAATTTCACTTAAAATGTGAATGCAGAAAGTTCCAGGATTTTTCTTCGTCTCGTTTGCATGCAAGAGTAAAATCTCTCTGATAAAAAATTCAATAAAGCTTTAAAACAGCTTACTTGAAGCTATTCTTTGGGTGGCTCTTAGCATTTCATATAGCATCTTGCATATAAACACCCAGGAAATATCTGCAGAATATAAATAAATAACTTCCAAGTTTTCTTTGATGCATAGGTTGCTGTCTACACTCGTCTACAAGGCACCAAAAAACCCTGTAATATCCAAAAGTTTATTCTCCTTGTTTGCTTGAGCTTGACCTTACCTATTCCTGCTGGGTCTATTTTTAAAAGGGCCACTATCAGAACCATTAATTATTTAGATAACAAAGGAAGGGATGATCTTCCTGGGAATTATTAAAATGAATAGGAGAAAGTATAGCAGCTTTGCCCTATAGTAAAAATTTGATTGAAACAAAGATAGTTAAATTTTAGTCATATGAAAAAAGGGCAAAATGCACAAAATGAAGTAGTTGAAAGAAGGAGTGGACTCTTGGAGAAAAAAAGAAATTGAATGCAATTTGGATTTCTCAATAACATGATAATTTCATGGCATTAATGGGCTATCATGAGCAATAAATAAATGAACAACTCTTAAAAATAAGGTTAAAAATGTCTGCACAATTTCCTTTAGTGTACTTGTATTTGAAATAACAGAATCCTCAAAAATATCATTAGAACATCTTGCAGAAAAAATTACATTTACCAGACAAAGAAATAAATTGAGGAAATAAACTATTTTTAGTGGTTCATTTAATGGATAGGTGAAGTATTTAAAAGATCACAAAATACTATTAATGGCAAGAAAACACCAATCTGCTTTTATATAACTATTTCTTGAAGTGGAAATTTCTTATCTTAGTGATTCACTAGAAGGAATTTATTTTTCTAATTGTCTTGAGGTTTGAAAATGATTAGATGGTACAAAATTGCTGTATTTTATTAATATAACATTTCAACCTACTTTATCAATTTCTATTTCCTCATTATTATCAAATAATGTGTTATCACTAAAGAAGTACCATTAAATCTTAGATACATAAATGCCACTGTATCCAAAACAATATTGTAAATAGGACATTGTACTTACAGATTTCCATGGAATTTTTTACAAGCCTTGCTAGAAATAATTGTTTTTTTCTCAAAGGCGAATAAAAATCCACAGATACATTAGATGTCAAGTACAGAAAAAATGAAAAACAAAAAACAAAATGAAGCAAAAGTAAAAATGTATTTCATTTGTAAACAATTGTAAAAAATGTTTTTACAATTGTTTCTCATTAATAAAAAACCTCTTAAACATATTAAAGTTTTAACCACTTTCCAGCCTGATGTACCATGACTGTACTATAAAATACCTTGAGCAAGTGCCTTATAGTCCTTTTAAAAACAAATGATGGGTAAGACTGTGATCATACAAAAAGTTCTAAAATGTTGTATTATATTTTAATACTATTTCTACAGTGCCTCTCGCATAAAAATGAACAATATTTACTTGTCAAATGCCCGTATGCAGGAATCCCTTTCTCCCTATCCACAATGAGAAAGTGCGGTGTAGTATACAGAGTAGGCTTTGGAGTCAAAGAGACCCTTGGTCAATTCCTGTCTTTGCCATTGACTAATCATGAACCACATTATTTAATATTTCTGTTTCTCCAAAGTTTTAAAACTGGGATAATACCTAATCCTGTAGAATTAACACGAGGATTAAAAGAGATAATGCACTTAAATGCCCTACTCTATTGCTTGGCACATAACAGTTATTCAGTAAACCATTATTATTTCTAACAGCTTAATCGTGTTTTCTTTCTCTTGTAAAGCATCATAATCTGTTGATCGCGTTTTCTTGGGAATTGATCTTTTTAAAGAGAATGGCAGTGGCACTAAATGACCGGACCCCTGGCTTCCTCTCCAAAGGTACCATCTGTCTTCAACTCTCCCACTTGGCTGCAATCATATGGACCTCCTGGCTGTTCCTCAGATAAAACCAAGCATCTTTCTACCTCTTTGTACTTGCTGTTCCTTCCGCTTGTAATGTTCTTGCCCAATATGAATGACTGACTCCTCTTCGTTGGTGTCTTTGTTTAAATGTCACTTCTTCAGACAGAATATCAAGTTTGAATCAATTCAGTAGGGGGTAGGTACCGTGTTAGGTGTGGCAAATACAGTTGACTAAGAATTGTTTCTGCTGTGAATGAGTTCAGGAGCTGGCGTCTCATTGGTCCTTTGGCCCCTCATCCAGTTTTCAGTTAGGAGAAGCTGGCTGGTGTGGGGGAAAGATTGTAACAACAGAGAGCTGGATTCAAATCCTGCCTTTGCCACTCACGCCAACTCTATTATTTTGGATTCACTGCTTAACTTTTGAACCTCAATTTTCTTATCTATATCTTTTTCCATATTTATAAATTAGGAATAATAATGCCTATCTCATGGGGTCATCATAAGGATTGAAATAATATTTGTAAAAGTGATTGAAACCATGTGGGGCCCCTTTTTGGTGATCAAAATGGTTAGTTTCTGTTCTTAAAATGGATACATCTAAAGCTGGCTTTTAAAAAATTCTCCAAAGAGCTGCCTCAATAAAACTTCTTAAAGTTTAATGATCAGAACACGTCTTCCTTAGCTCTCACCTAAAGCTCTTTAGGTTGGAACATGAATGAATCTATTTTCTCCTGCTTAGTTCTCCAGCAAGGCATGACACCTAGTTGACATTTCTATCTGAAAAGCTTTTGTAAACCATTATAACTCCTTTCCTAGTAGATTCTTGGTTTCTTTACTTTTCCTAACAGACCTAGTCCAGAATTTTAGTAACTTTTGAAACTTTTATTCAAATCCTCCTGGAGATGTCCATATCTCTTAACCTGTGGAGGAACAAAGTGGAAATAAAATTATTTTGATCCATGAATTACGTTAGTTTATTTGATAAATTCTTTTATATTTTCTCAGCATCCTTCACGTATTACACTTTATATCCTCATCAGTAAACATTTGCACATTATACATACCCCAAGATGGAAGAAAATGGTAGTAAGAGAAACATTAAAGATACTGTCTATGGAAAGAACTACTAAGAAATTATTTTAAAGAAGATCTGGTTAAAAAGACATTTAGTTGGAATGTGGATTTTAAACATCTAACTCTTTAAGCACATGCCATTAGCTATCCTTGGCTAGTCTCTGATCTGGTCTTGTTCCAGCACCGATATCGCAGTTCTCTATTTCCTATCAGCAACATACTGGATACTGACTTATTTAGGAAATGCACAGAGCATTGGAACATACCAACGGAGTGTAAACTCCTGCAGGGACTCAGTCTTATTCACTGTCAGATCACCTAGCACTTATTGCCAAGGTGAACATGTGTCTATTTGAACCAGTCAACTGAATGTTACAGCTTCTGGGTTTTTTCCCTTGCCAAGAAAATAGGGAGGATTAAGTTCGGTGGGCTAGGGAGAGTGAAAACACGAAGGAGCCCGCAGCAAGACTACAGCTGTACCACCTGGTGATGTAACATCGGATGAGCTGGCACATAATTCAGGTGGATTCATCAAGGATATCTTCGCCCACAGGATAAGTGGAAAATAAACATAAACCAATATTGAGATAGCATCCTTTTTTGATACACCACTTGGTTGAAACTGGATTCTTCGCACCTCGTATCTGGAGCCAGATTTGTAGACAGGCTCACGCATACTTTTAAGTGGGTCTTTACATCTGTTTGTATCACCTGCCTCGTTCTGCGCTGCCTGACTGGGTCCCCAACCCGTGCTGGGTCACTGCCATGTTTCCTGGGAATCAAGGTTCCCCAAGGAGTTAATTAAATCCCGTTCCTAAACAAACTCCCTTCCGTCCCGCATCTGCTTTGAATGTGAGGAGCTGGACAGAAGCCCAGGAGGGTCGGGCTCGGGGACAAATAAAATGGGGAAGGCACCAGGAAGGGAGGAAAGGCAGTGAGTGGTCTCGAGAGCTGCCCCAAGCCGAGATGATGTCTTATCCTGGGAAGGGGTGCTCTGAAGGCGGAGAGCCGAGCTCACTTGGGGAGGTGGAGCTGGCTCTCGGAGACCGAACTGTCAGCCGTAAGCGCCCAAGTGTCCCCTATCGAGTCTCCTGACTCAGCTCCGGAAGCCGGCCGAAGGAGGCTCAGCTGTCATCCGCGCAGAGTGGCCGTGAACGGTGGACAGAGTAGTCCAGAACTCCCGCCCCAGGGAGATGAGGAGGGAGAAACTACACTCCCCAGCAGGCAGTGCGACCTGAAGCCCCGCGGCGTCCCCTTGCCCTCCGGCTCCCCGCCCCTCGCGCGGCTCGCAGCCCCGGCTCCGCCGCCGGCGCCCCAGCACTGCGCATGCGCACGGCAAGCCGGAGACATGTTGGGTCAGTTTGAAAGCCTGCGCGGGCGGTGCGCTCCGCTGTGACGGCTGAGGATGCTGCGAGCGAGCGGTTCTTGCGCGGCTGTGATTGTGCTGGGGATGCTTTGTCGCGTCTCCAGTCCGGTTACAGGCCTCGGCTTTCTGCTGGGAGTTGTGGAAGTGTGCTTTTTTCTTTCTTTCTGGACCTTCGTCTGGGAGTTCGACCCGAAAAGGGGGTGTGTTTTCGAGGGGCGTCCCATCCTTTGACAGCCCGAGGGAAAGGCTAAAGGAAGGTGGCGGGGAGGAAAGGGGGAAAATGTGTCTTGCGGGAGGGAGTCTGCTGAGAGCCCTGCGGGTAGGGGGCAACTTTAGGGGGAGGGCCCCCGGCCGGGGAGGGTGGCGGAACTGGACAGTGGGGACCTGACGTGGGCCTCGGGGGACTGGAGGCGTCGATTGAAGCCGGAGTCGGGGGAGGGTGTTAGGCATTTGGGGCCGGCGCCTCGAGGAATACAGTCCGTACCCCTGGCGCTAACTGTCGCAGACCCCCGATGGTTTCAGAGGAGCCTGTGATTGCTGGGATCCCGCAGGGAGGGCGTTTCCTAGATGCGGGGCGCCGGTTTGAACTGAACGCTGGGAGCGGACAGGATGCTCTGGTGCAGGGGCGCCAGCAATCCTGGCTTTCTGGGTTTATTTTTTTGCTGTAGTTATAAACGCATGTTCGGTTTCATTACAGAAATCCCAGAGCTGTTATTTCTTTTTTTTTTCTTTATTATAGTTTTTTCCATTACCATTTAGTCCCCTTTTACCCCCTCCCTCCAAGAGCTGTTATTTCTAAGATCGGTTAATTTCTTGTGAGCTCCTCCCGTTGGTTATTTAACTCGGAATATTCTGTTTTTGAATCAAAGGTAGTTGAAATTTCTCGCCATTCGTATAACATTCTGTTCGGAATGAGGGATTTCCTTATGCAGATACGAACGGGTGTTTATGGAAGAAATGGTAAGATATTTGGGATTTGCTTCCAATTCCTGTGGGAGAAGTGGGGAGATACTGTGTTTGGGTATGTTGGTAATTGTTTGAAGAAGGATGATAGCTGTATAGGGGATTATTATTATTATTATTATTTCGTACTTTTGTATACTTTTGGAGACTCTCCACAATGAAAGTTCAATTGTGGAGTTTTTGTTTTTGTTTTTGTTCTTCCCCCTGTGAATTAAAATAAATGGTATAACCTACTTACTGAGAACTATAACCCATCAACTTTGCCTTTTAGGATTTTGTTTTGTTTTTGAGGTTTTGTAAAATTAAAACCAGTAACCTACACATCCTATGTTCTAACAAGGGAGAAAATGTTCAGTCAAGCTTAATATCCAAGCAGCATTCATTTCAGAACATTTAAACATCATTGATGAGTAGGGTAAAGAGAGCAAAGCTGATTTAGTCTAGCCATTCTTTTTTTTTTTAAAAAAAATATATAATTATTGAATTTATTGAGGTAACATTTATTAGAAACATGTAAGTTTGAGGTGTACAATTCTATAGTACATTATCTGTATATTGCTTTCTGTGCTCTCCACCTGAAGTCTAGTCGTCTCCTGCGCCATGTATCTGACCCCCTTTCACTACGCTCCCACCCCCTTCCCCTGTGGTAACTGCCATACAATTGTCTGTATCTATGAGTTTGTTTTGTTTGTTCGTTTGTTGCTTTCTGTTGATACCCTGCATGTGGGTGAAATCATGTCATTCTTTTTCTTTTCTGACTGACTTCTCTAAGGGTGATACTCTAGAGGTTCATCCATGTTGTTGCAAATGGCAGTAGTTCATCCTTCCTTACGGCTGAGGAGCGTTCCATTGTACATATGTACCACATCATCTGTATCCAGTTCTCCACTGACGGGCACTTAGGTTTTTTCCATCTCTTGGCCACCATGGGTAACAATCTAGCCTTTCCTTCTTAGTATAACAAAATCGAAGCATTCAGGGAAATCAAAGAAGCTAAACATTATTTTATGTTCTGTTGCTGCTGCCACTCTGCTATCAGCCCTCTTGCAAAGGCAGTTACATATTGTAAGACTGAGAGTCAGGATGACGTTTTAATATGTCTTTTCTTTCTTAGATGGAAAACTTTCAGTATTTTAAAGTCACTTTTAACAGTAGAGATTACATTAAGTGTTGTTATAACTGAAATATTCCAAAATGCAGCCAAAAGTTAAACATATTAGCTTTATAACATCATAGCATATGTTAAGTCTTAGATATTAGTCTTGTTTTTAGTACAGAAAATTCATTGATTTAATTTTAAATAATGCACCGAAGTAGTGCCTGTCCATTCTGTTATTTTTTAGGTTTTCAAATATAGGTCCTATTATTGCTATACTAAGGTAGACAGGAATTCCGTCAATTTAAATAATGGAAAAACAGTAAGATGAATATATTGTCAATTTTCTAATTATTTAAGTCTCCTAAAAAAGAGAAGTGAGCTGAATAAGTTTAATATAAGTATCAAAAATAGTGAGGGTAATACCAAAAATGAAGGTCAGGAAATTATTACTAACAGTGTTGTTTTAGGAAAAGAATATTTTGCATGTTCATTTTATGATATGACTTGTAGTTTCTTTGTATTTTGTTCTCTCAACTCCTTTTCAGGTGAAGGGGTTGGATCAAGTTACGTATTGGCATTTATAAAATTCTTCTTCCATGTTCCTTCTTGTTTTTAATACTTCATTTGATGCCTTTAAAAATTTATTGAGCAAGCCCTGGCTGGCAGCTAGGTTGGTCAGAGTGTTGTCCTGATATGCCAAGATTGCAGGTTCTATCCCCAGTCACGGCACATACAAGAATCAACCAATGAATATGTAAATAAGTGGGAAGACAAATCGATGTCTCTCTCTCACTTTCTTTCTCTTTGTCTCTCTCCCTCCTCTTTCTCTCCCTTCTTCTCTCTCTTTAAAATCAATAAAAAAAAATGTAATTAAAAATTATTGAGTACCTACTATTCTGTAGTGCATGGTGGGTAGGCTTAGGAATTAAAAAATATTATGTACAGGGGAATGTTAGATATTGTGATGTCATAAAATATATCAACATAAGAAAAGACTGTACTTCAGTAGTTTTTAGGAATTAAAAAAAAGTGAGTCCTCTTTACTTGGTACTTTCCATGCATGTTCTCAGATAATTTTACTATACATAATGCTAGGCACATAGTAGGTACTTAGTAAGTGTTTTCTAAATAAATGATGAAGGAACTCAACAATAATTAATAGAAAATCTATAATGTATATTGCTTAAAAAGGATTTACAGATAATAGATATTATTCTTTGAAGAAAATTATAAAAAGTTTATGTATTTAGTAATTTCTCTGGATATGACTATTATTCCTTTTTCTTTGAACCTTAATCTTTTGTTTTTCTATTGCAGTTATTTCTAAGAGAAATGAACAGAAATAACCCGTATTGAGGAAGGCATGGCAAAATCCAATGCAAAACACAGAGTTTGTTCCCGGGAATCCTCAGTGTCTTCTCTGTTAGCAAGCTGCAGCCTGGGTGGTAGTCGCTCCTCTAACCCTGATGGCTCTTTTCAGTACAAGGATAAACTGTACAGTTCTGCATCACAGGCTCTGCAGGCCTATATTGACGATTTTGATCTAAGCCGGATGCATCCTGGTGTAACCACTGGAAAGATTAACGTTTACAAATGTCCTGCTAATATGCCAGAATTCTCCAGCTATATTTATAAACCAAACAGTGGTATGCTTTTCTTCTCCTTTTTTTTTTTGGTGTACTGATTTAAATTTGAGAGATGTATTGTAGTCTTTGAAAACCAGATACTTCTTTTTTTCTTTGGGATAAAAATGACTTTTGTAATGTTGAGGTCTAGATATTTTTCTTAAAAGATTCTGTAAATATTTGGTTCTCAGGAATTTTCAGCTAAGATCTCCTTGTGACCTTGGTCGGGGGAAGCTGATGAATTATAGCAGGTGGCTGATCCTAAATCCTTAAGTCATTTTATCATAGCATAATGGAAAGAGCATTGACTTGGTGGTTCTAGTTTTCTTTTATTACCTGATGACTTTAAATGAGTATCAGCTTTTCTTAGTTACACTTCATCAATTCCAATTGATGGCATAGTATTATATTAGTCTTCCTGATCAGTATTCTATGGGAAAATAATATTCATAATGCATTAAGAGTTTTTACTTGGTAAGGCTTTTATGAAGACAAATTTGGAAAATGCATCAGTTGATAACCCGATTACGGAGCACTTATGGAATAGCCTTAGTATGGAAAAAATTTGCATTCAATTCTTAGAAGGTTGTGGACACTATTCCAGAAGAGGAGCATTAGAACAGCTCTTTACTGTGTGTTAATGCTATTGGCAGAATTAGTAGGCAAGAAAACAATATTTTTTCCACCTAATCGCATATTTTTTTCCTGTGTTGGAGCCAGTAGTGAGTGACCAGTATTATTGTGAGGGTATTATTGCGTTGGGTAGGTCTAGATGAAAAAAAGTTGAAGAAATAAATTAACATGGGAAAATTCAAGAGGTTGGAGAGAAATGGGTAGAAATTAACTCAAACAAATTGAGATGTGAGGTAAAAAAGCACATCCTATTTCATCAACCTATATCTTTTATGCTTTTAATCAGAACTTTAATGAAGATGAAAGTGGTAAAAATGGTTCTTAAATTCTTAATTCTCATTTACTTTTGAGTATTTTAAAGTATTTTTATATGTGATACAGGAAGATAAACAGCTATGCTTTGTTTTTTAGCTTTTGAAAATTTTGATCACAAAAGAAGCTCCTTATCTTCTAGAAGACGGACTATTAATGACATAGACTCTGTTAGCCTAACAACTGATGATCTACTAAAGCTTCCAGCGGATGGATCATTTCCTTTTACTTGTGTTGGACCAGGTCACAGAATTAGCAAGAAAACCAAGAAAGTCAATGGAAGACGGAGTTCATTGGACATGGAAAAGAATCAAAATTCTCAAGGACCCTCTACTGCCATGAACAAGGATAACTTAATATACACAAATGTACATGGAAAGCAGTCTCGTAGGCTAAAAAACGTAAAACTTGTAGATAAGACAAATAAATACACTTCTGAACCATCTTTATCTTTTTCCAAGAAATCATCTTTCAAGGAAAGTTCAGAACACAATCTTGAAAAGAATTATCCAAGATGGCTCACAGGCCAGAAATCTGATCTTAATATTTCAGGGATAACTAGTATACCTGACTTCAAATACCCAGTCTGGCTGCACAATCAAGACTTACTACCTGACACAAATAGCCAAAGATTTAAAGAAGAGCAGTGTTCCCCAAGACATAGTTATCAGGCACAAAGAACTTCACGACTTATGAATAAATTAGATTGCTTTGAATATTCTTTTGAACCCTCAAATATTCCAGATTTCTTGAGTGGTGATAAAGGATTAGTTAATGAATTTAAATGTGATTCTGAACATAGCCAATGTCAATGTGAAAATCCACTTCTTCCAGGACAATCCAAAAAGCCATTCAATGGTAATTGTTTTTTGTTTGTTTTTAAGAACAGAAGAAAATACTGTAATTTGACCTACTATCTAGGAACTTTTATGTTAACATTCTTGATGTAATGATCAGGTGCTATGAGTTTTTTTGAGTTCTGGCTTTCATTTATTATGTATCATTTTGTAACTAGAAAATGTCTTTTCTCCCTTTTGTTTGTTTGAAATGTCACATTTTGACATCTGCTGTTATAGATATGTATATATTCCAAGCGCTCTGAATTCTTGTTGCTTTTGTGAGATTTTTTTTGTGCTTTGCATTTTTAAAAAAGAATTAATGTAATCTTTTAAACAGGTGACAAAATTGAATTGCTTATCCTTAAAGCCAAGAGAAATCTAGAGCGTTGTACTGAAGAATTACCGAAGTCTATGAAACAAGAAGACAGTCCTTGTTCATTAGATAAACTTGAAGCAGAAAGATCATGGGAAAATATTCCTGTTACTTTGTAAGTACGTTATAATGAAAAAGTCATATAAGGTCATTAGGTTTTTTGGTACTCTTTTTTTTTCTTTTTTTTAAGATTTTATTTATTTTTACGGTGGGGAAGGAGAAAGAGAGAGAAACATCAATGTGTGTTTGCCTCTCATGCATCTCCTACTGGGGACCTGGCTTGCAATGTAGGCATGTGCCCTGACTGGAAATTGAACCGGCAACCCTTTGATTTGCAGGCCAGCACTCAACCCACTGAGCCACACCAGCCAGGGCTTTTTTTCTTTTTCTTTTTCTTTTTTTAAATGTGGACACTGATTATGATACTGGTCTGGAATCCCAACTCTGTCACTTCCTCACTGAGACCTTGCATAAATTATGTCTATTTTGTGCAACTCAACTTTGTACAGGGTCTTGTACAAGTTATTTTACTTTGGCATTTTTGTAAAGATTCAATTGATTAGAAAGTAAATAAAGGTACTTAAGTCAGGACATTGTGATGATCTCGTAAATTGTAATTGTGGTGGAGATTATTCAGAATATATTTTTCTTAGTTTGATTTCTCAATTGTTGGTTCAATAATATCTTTTAAAAAATGGGTTAATAATGATCTCATTTAATTTTTAATTTTATGTTTCTTATTTTTTAATTTCTTACTATCAGTTCTTTCTGTATTTGTAAAGTATAATAGCTGCTATACTTTGCTTTCAGTTGGAACCAAAATGGGTGAGCAAATAATATCAGAGATATTTAAGTGTAAAAATTTTTAGTGTATTTTGTAAATAGATAATGTAATTTCTGACCAGTATAATTATTATCATCTATGGTGTGGCCCAGTACCTTGCATACAGTAGTTGATGTGTAGAAGATTGAATTCATATAGTGATGGGCATATTTTGTATATAAAATTAACGATGGATTGTGAGAAGAAGGGATATAGACCTGGCCTCCATATCACATTGACAGATTATTCTCAATTTGTCATAAAAAACAAAATTGACCTGGATGTACTCAAAGTAATATATTAAAAGATCAACTACCACTACAACCAGATAATTGCTTTTTTGTTTAAGTTTTTATGATGGAAAATTTCAAATAAATACAAAAGTGGAAGAATAGCACAATGAATCCTTATGTACCTAGCCCCCATCGTCAATAATCAGGTAAATGCTTTTGATAATGGTGGGTGGATGTACAAACTCTTTTGATAAAGAATGGGAGAAAAGACTACTTGAGAGCAATAAAAACCTCAGAGTGAATTACAAATCAAATGAATCAATAATAAATGCTGCTAATTAAGAAAAATTAGCATTGTGACATTTACGTGTTATAAAAAGGCTTAGATATATCTGAATACTTGAGTTAGAAGCTCATCTCCTACTGATATTTAAGTGAAAGAAAGAGTTCTTCTCTTTTGAATTTGAATAGAATTTGGTTTTGGGATAATTAATACTTTTGCTGGGGATGCCCTTTTTTTCTGTTACCCCTTATATCAAGAAAGAAATTAATACTTATTGAGCATTTATAAATGTACCAGGTACATAGAGTTAATTTATGCAGTATTTATGTGAAATAAATGGGACTATAAATGTAGATAATGAAATTCAGATAAATAAATTATGTAAAGTCATGTAGTGAGTGGGATTGGAATTTGAACTCAAGAATTATAATTTCAAAATTGATCTAATCTGTCTTCTTTGTTAATGCCAGTTCTGGAGGGGGATGTCCATCCTATTGCTTTGACGTGGCAGGGCATGTAATTGCCATCCCAGTAAAAAATCTTGTAAATTTGTGGGAGTTTTGTGTATTATCATTGGGTAGCTAACAGTGTTTAACTGGAAAAATATATTGCTTATTTCAGACAAGTGAGCTTTTAGAGCATAGCCTGTAGTTGAAGGCTTATTTGATTAGTTGAAAGCTACCATCTTCAATTTTTTTTGTACTTTTTTTCCTTAAAGCTTTAAAGGAGAAGCAAGGAGAAAGGGAGGGTTAGATTCTGGTATCAGTTAAGGGAAAAGATAAGAAAATTACCAAGCAAAATCAACATGAATCATATCTATAACGGTTATTTCTTGGTGACCATTTATATTTAAATGATAACCATTGAATTATATACTGTCTAATTTTTATAAATTTGGAACCTAATTACTATCTTGTACCTTAAATTCTATTTAGCAAATCTCCTGTTCCTGTTACCTCTGAAGATAGTCCTCAACAGGCTTCAAGGGCCAAGTGTGATAACGGGTTCCTTGAAGACTTTTTAAATAATGACAATCAGGTGAGTGAAGGTAAATCTTTTTCACTTATTAAAAGATTACTAATGTGTAGATATTAATTTCTAAGTTATTTAGATATTAAAAGACAAAAAATGACCTATATCCTCTCTTCCCAAACACACATCCATGAAACCATCATTCCTAGAATTATTGATAATTTATTTGAGTATTCTACAGCAAAGGGACCTGAGATCGAACTCCTACAGAGTGCCTAAATTGTTAATTATAATTTTTTTTCCTGGAAAACATAAAACCAACCATTATATTTTCTTATAGGGCAGCTGATTATTGAGAGTTGTGTTTCTAAGATATAATTATAAATCTCTAATTTTTAAAATAGGAAAATTATTATCTAATTTTACTAAGTCAGCATTATGTTCATCTTGCAGGTAACCCCAAAATAAATTATGTGTATATGTGCACATAAGTAAGGATGTACAATTTGATTTAGAAACACAAGACATGGTGTTAAATATTGAAATAATACTTTTGGGTTTTTAACATTCTAGAAGATTTGAGAGGTTGAAAAATTAGCTAAAAAATTTAATAAAATGTCTTTTTTCCTCCAGCAAAATTTACTACAGACCTTAGCACTCTATGTAAGATAGTATAGCAGGTACTGGGTAAGTGAAGCTTAATTGTCAAATACTTGGTAAGTATTTGAGTACCAAGCACTTTTTTGGGAACTGTATTCCTAGTAGTGAAAAAGAAAGGAAATCATTGTCTCTCAGTTTTTTTATTCTAGCTGAAGAGACAGACTAATCAAAAATTTAATATGTAATATATAAGGGAGTACTAAAAGTGTTATAAAGAAAATTTAACTGGGAAAGAGAAATGAGACTACAGTTTTAAATAGGGTAGGCAGGAATGGCCTTTCTAATGAACGAAAACCTGGTATGAGTGAATAACCCAAATGCCTGTGGGCAAATGACTTTTTACAGGTAGAGGTAATCGTAAATGCTGGGACCCGAGATAGAAATGTGTTTGGCATGTTCAAGGAACATCAGAGTCCAGTCAGGGTAGCTCAGTCAGCAGGAACAAGGGAAAGAATGCTAAGAGGTAAGATGGACAGGTAATGAGGAGCCAGGCCATTTAGGACCTCATTTAACCTTAATTACCTCCTCATAACCCCATCTCCAGATACTGCTGAATTCAAGATTAGGGCTTTAACATGAATTCTGGGACACAATTCAATCCATAGCATCATATAAAACGAATCATATATTTGTCCTCTGTGACTGGCTTACTTCACATGTTGTGTCATGTGTCAAAATTCCCTTCTTAACCTGAATAATATTGCCTTGTATGTACCATGTTTTATTTATCCAGTCATCTGCTGGAATCATGGGCTGCTCTCAGTGTTCTGTTATGTGAATAATGCTTCTATGACATGGGTGCACAAGTATCTGTTTGAGTCTGTTTTCACTTCTTTGGGTGTAAAACCAGAAGGAGAATTGCAGATTGTATGGTAATTCTGTGCTTATTTTTTCGAGGAATTGCCATACCATTTTCCATAGCAGCTGCATCATTTTTACCTTCTCAAATTGTTTCTTTTTTTTTTCCCCCAATTGCAGTTCACATTTAATATTATTCTGTATTAATAGTTTCAGACGTACAACATTGGGTTCTTAACACCATGTTCATATAGCTGTGGAGAGTGTCTTTAAAATCTTCTTAGCTGTTATGCTTAACTTTGACCCTCTTCACCAGTGAGAGCCCACTTCTAATATTCTTATGTTTGTCAACAACTTCCTCTAGAGTTGAAGTTTAAATTGTACATACATTATATTGTCTATGTTGAAATAACGTTAAATTACAGACATCTTAAGAGGCCAATTGCCACTTTGTGGATAGTTTTCAGGACACAGCAACTCACATGAATAATGTAAAAATAATAGGTTGCTAAAAGTTTTAAAAAGAAGTTCAAAAATATCCCTTACAGAGTCTCTTAAAAGAATCCTGAGCACTTACATGGCTAAGTGCTGTTGCCTTCTTTGGATGCAGGTAAGATTAGTGATAATTGAGTTATGAGTGTTCTTTTGGGTAGCAAGGAGCTTGTGGCCCATGAAGAGGTAGAAAACCAATATTCTGTGTGTCAAACCATATTTAAATGTGTGTAGAGAATACTGTATTTAGAATTCTAGTCCTTGAATCTGAGTCTCAGTTTACACACATGAAAGGAGCAGGTTGGCTTACTTGCTCTCTGGGGAACTTACAGTTCTAAAAGTCTGTGATTTTAAACGTACTAAATGAATGCGTTGCAAATGTAAACAGGTACTCTTCATTTTAAAAGAGCAAAGACTAGAAAGGCAATGCCAAACTGCTAATGATGATTGTCACTAAGTAACTTCATCTGGGAACTGGGTACGGAGAGGCGAAAAGTTACAATTTTTAAAACACTTTATTGACATTTATTGTTTGGATTTTTGCATTAATTTTGTATTGGGAAAGAGTAATACAAAATGTAACTTTTTCCCCCTGAATTTGGGTGGTTAATTGTTCATCGGTTTTAACTTTCAGAGCTGTACCCTTTCCGGAGGGAAGCATCATGGCCCTGTTGAAGCCCTGAAACAAATGTTATTTAATCTTCAGGCTGTACAAGAAAGTTTTAACCAGAACAAAACTACAGAGCCGAAAGGAGAGGTTAAGCAAGTACGCACAAACTTGATTTATGAATTGGGATCTGTGAAGAGATGAGATTTCTTCCTAGATCTTTTTTAGTTTGACCTTTAGTTGTATGTTAATAAACATGCCATGTAACATATGTTGTAGAGTTGTATTAGTCTTATTTTCAGAAAGTGACTAATGGGCAAAATAGAACCAGAGGGATGGAATCATGGACTAGACTGACAGCTGTAAGAGGGAGGGGGGGAGGTGGGGAATGGTTGCAATAGGGTGACGGGATTAGTCAACATAGATGAAGGCCCCATGGATTGGCCAGTGGTGAGGGGACTGATTATGGAAATGAGGGCCGGGCTGGGTGGAGGGGGGCGCAGGGGGAAACAGTGGGGCAACCGTAACAGCATACACAATATCTATATGGAGAAAGTGACCTATTCAAATTCGATACTATTAAATTTCTGCAGTTGTATATTCCTGAATGGATTGTTTTATTTAGTTTATGGTAATAAATTCAACATCCTCTTTAGGTATGATGGTATCACAACTATAGTATGAAAGGTTTGTAAGAGGAGTTTTCTTAATGCCCCGCAAAATTCTTCTGTATAGTCCGACGTATTTATAAATTGGGGAGATCTAGAAAACCTTTTCAACATTGGACTTCTCCACATACCTTTGTCATCTGAAATTTAATTGTGGTGCTATGTATTTATTGACTTCTGAAGACAGTTATATAAAGTTTTACTTTTCTTTCCTAATCTGAGGACACACTGATTTTTAGAGAGAGGGGAAGGGAGGGAGGGAGAGAATCATCAATGTGAGAGAGAAACATTGATTGGTTGCCTCTTGTATATACGCCAACCTGGACTGAACTCAGAACTCAGGCATGTGCCCTGGCCAGGAATCAAATGCGCCAGTCTTTTTGTTTATAGGACAATGCTCCAACCCAGTGAGCCGCGCTGGCCAGGGCTGGAGTTTTATTTTAAAACCATTGAATTTTTATGTATTTTCTAGGAATTTGGAAATCTGTTTCTGCTTTAGTCTACTATTCTGTAGGAATTGAATTTTCTTTACAGTAGTATAGTGTTTATGAATATATTATTATTTATAACTAAGGAGAATGTTTATATAATCCCAAGTCTGATTATAAATTCTAATTCTGCCACTTATTAGCAAGTACAATATTTGTACCTCTTTAGTTTCAGTTTTCTCTTTTGTAAAATGAAATTGAGAAATAAAGACAGATTATATAAAGTATTCATTATAGAACTTGGCACCTGATTAAAAACTTAATGAATACTTTATTAATAAAATACTTACCCAAATAATAAAAACCTTTAAAAACTTAAATAATGCCCTGGCCTGTGTGGAGCCAGTTGGAGCGCTGTCCCGTAACTGAATGGTTGTGGGTTCGATTCCTCATCAGGGCACATACCCTGGTTGTGGGTTCGGTCCCTGGTCCAGGTGTGTACAATACCCTGTCCAGGCGCCTACAGTCCCTGGCTTGGGAGGGATGTTTCTCCCTCTCCTTTCCTCTCTCCCTTCCTCTTTATAAAAGCAATAAAAAGAAAGTCCTCCAGTGAGAATTTTTAAAAAATACTAAAAATAATAATAAAAAATAAAAAGTTATAAAAACTTAAATAATAGTACTTAAATTAGTTACAGATAATAATACCTTTAGATAATAAATGTTTTTATTGTCATTGTTATATTGCTATTGTTATACAGTAGAGCTCTCTGAAATTCAGTTTTTGTTAAAAATGAGTGGATCACTCTTGGGAACTAGTACAGTGTGCTCTTTTGAGTTTATTTCTTAGTATTTCCTTTTCATTTCTAATGATCACAACATTAACATACAGAGCATAATCTTTGTTTTCGATCCCCTTTTAAACATATTGAGACACTACCGAGTTCATAGAAGTCATAATTTCAAGCCAAGATTTGATTTTTATTGGGCATACATTTAGAAGCATGCTTTAGGACAATTGAAAGATGAATCTAAGTAGTAGTTGTATTTTTAGAATAAAGAGGAAATAAAAATAATTTACTAAAAGTTATTTGCTAGAAAAATTTCATTGGAAATAAAGACAATATTTTTTACTATTTGTTTTAATCACATTAAATAGCATTTAAGTTTATAATATAATATTTTCAGTATTTTGTTGCATTTGATGTTTTTAACAATAGGTTTCAGAAGATGATTTCTCTGAATTACAATTGAAGGAAAGTATGGTTCCTATTACTAGGTCACTTCAAAAGTAAGTATTCTCTACTAATTTATGAATATGTTATGGATACAAATCCATTTTAACCATCTCTTGGATTGAAATCAGAAGGTTACAGGATGGAAATAAGTAGTTTTAAGGATGTGGTAAGTATAGTTAAGCTTCTTGGAGCATACTGTTTAATACAGAAATTTTCTCTTAATCCTGTGCTATTTCCTATTTAAAATGTCCTTAGAACCAAATGAGATAACCTTAGACACCTATAATATAAGGAATGTGAACGGCCTAAATTGGTGCTCTTTCATTTCTGAACAATAGCAAAAATTTGAGATTAGTATTGGTGTGGATATCCTGGAAGAACAACCTGTTCATGGCATGTATTTTCATATATTCCAACCGTATCATTATTTGACCTATAGCCACAGAAATCCAAAGTAGATACAATATCCTGGATAAAAAGGTTGAAATGCCCTAAAGGTGTTAATCCCCCTAGTTTCTCATTTGCATTATCTTAAATTTAAAAGTTGGGAAGAATACAAGTCTTTCCTTATTGGCAGAAGGGAAAAGTATTTATTTATGGGTTTGGTTGTGTGAGTATAAAGTGTCCTCAGAAGATGATGTACTGAGTTTAAGAAGTGCTAAGGTTAAAATTTTTTACTTTTGTAACATCATTTCACTCGGGTGTACTTGGTGTTGTATCATAACCCTTAATCGATGTTTCCCCTTTAGTGTGTATTTTCACTTTTTTAGAAAAAAAAAGAATAATATTCTTATACAACTTTATCTCCCACTTCTCCCTACACATACACTTTTGATAGCCTTTTCTCTAATTAGATTGTTTTATTCTCAGCAGGGCAGATACAAGTTAAATAAAAGGAACTGCCAGGGGACTGTGTAGCTGAGCTAGGGAAACTGAAGACTTTCTTTCTACTTAGCTTTTTTATTCTTTCCCATCACACTGTACCTCTTCCCTCTACTCCCCTCTCTTCCTTTCTCCCTGACATTGTTTTTTAACAGTGTAAAACAAACTACATATGATTATAAAGGAAACAGTTATATTGAATTATCGTTATGAAAATATTAAATTTCTAGTTAGTAATGTGTGATTATTAATTAATACATTTAAAATAAGACTACATTAAAAATATAGGTAAGTTAAAATTCATTTTGTAAAACATAGTTTGAAGACCTTTTGCATAGCTTGAATAAAAGCATTAAATTGTGGCATGCTTTTACTGAGCTTCCGTGTGATGACCAGCAAACAGAGAAAGGGAATTTTGGAAAGCCTTGATTTCTGGGTTATTAGTGAGACCTCACTATTCAGTGGATAAACAACTAGGCTTAAAATTGTCTTATAGTTGGCCAGTTATGTCATATGAACTTTTGGACTATAACCAGAAAGACTTAGATAACATATGTCCTGGCAATGGCTTTGATACCTATTGTAATTTTATAACCATCATATAGCTATTATAATTTTGAAATAGCAATAAATTTAAAAGATTTTTAGATTCCTGTAATAACTATAATGTGAAATGAAAATATTTCCTTTTCCTGTGGCATATAAGGTCACAGATTTTGGTCTCTTGCTTACATGCATAATGGAAAGATTCTAATTTATGGATAATATTTAGTGAAAATAAAGATGAGGATTTTTCCCCAATCCAGTCTCATAAGCCCTTTAAATTCAAGGGATCTGTGGCCATTGGGGTTGTGAACAGTAAGTAAGATAAGACTCTCGTCATTTGCCTTTTTCTTTCACTTGAATCACTGGTAGTTAAATAACAAGCCTGGAAAGAAAAAGGAAGATAAGTCTCAAGTATATTTACAAATTATCTTTTTTCTCATAACTCTACATCTCTAGGAAGAAAATAATTCTTTAGATAGAGAAGTATTATCATAAGATGTAGAAATGATAGTGTCTAGTTAATTTTACCTAATTGCTTAGTAACTTTGGGTGCGTTATTGTCATTTAGTTAAAGAAGATGAGAATCTCGAAAAATAACTGAAGTTGCCAAAAGGGTAGCAGAATCCAGATTCTTCTCTTATTAATTATATTTGAGTAAGTGTCCAAAAAAGAGAAATGGGAAATAGATATAGTGCAGTAATTAACACTGGTAGTTTCTTCCACCTCTTCATCTTGGGTAAAGTAGAAGATGTGTTTTATTTAATATACATTAATTGAATCTATGTTAGAGACTGTAGAATAGGGTGTTGTAGTTACCACCTTTAGCTGACCTTAGTAACCACTAGAGATTACTGCACACGTTGCTGTGTTATTTCTGTTTTCCTTGGTCTCTTATGTATCAGAGATCGAAAATATGGTTGATTAATATGGCTGATATTTTCTCAGTAGCCATCGGATCTGTAGGATAGGGGAGGAAAAACTGGGACAGTATTTTAGAGGAAGATTGGAAAGTGAAGGGACTCTCTCTTCCTGGTTTGTTTGAGGGATGATTGAGTTTTCTCCACTGATACTATAACCTTAGCTTTATTCTTGCAAAAACCAGGTTGCTGGTAAAATATTACATTATTCAACATAATTGTCTCTTGTTTCCTCCATGCTCAATAAAAATGAGTTTTTCTTGGAAGTGTAACTGATCCTTTATTTTTTTTAATTTTAGCTATCTTGAGTGTATGTTAAAAATAAATGGTTTCTGAAGATATACACAGTATACCAAAAAATTTTATTTCACAGACCTATTGTGAAAATTACATGAAAAAAATGTTTTAAGTGTGATAACAAATGATACCCATTATTGTTTCTTACTAAAATTACTTGGCATGCTTGCCAAAAAAAGAAAAGAAAAAAGAAAAACAAAAACCCTTGAACACCAAAAATAAAAATTTTAAAAAGTGTTGTTATAGAATTTTAGAGGAATTATTTAAACATTAATTATTCAGATGTCAAAATTTTATAAGGAAACTTTATCACAGTTTGATATTTAAGTTATTCTCTAAATTCCTCATACTAATTTTGAAGTTAATAAACAATGTAATCACGATTTGTTGCTGTTTGTGTTTCTATTCAGTCTTTAATATTGGTTTATAATATGTTTTATACTTTTTGATGAAGGGCTTTGCACCATTTATCTCGCCTGAGAGACCTGGTTGATGATACCAGTGGGAAACAGTCACCGAAAATGTGAAGAGGAAAATAAAAGTCTAACCAATAAATAGTCACCAGAAAACAAAAATGTATTATTTTCCTGTTGCTTAAACGGGCAGAGTAATTATAAGCCATACACTCTTCAGATTGGTTCAATTATTATATATTTAAAAAACAAACTTGAAAATGTCTACAGCTTTTGTGACTTATCCTCATTTTGTATCAAAATACCAGAATGTGAACTGGAAGGACCCATGCTATGTCCTGTAGTCTGACTTTGGTCTTCAGGCCAGCAAATGTCTTATATTCAAAGATGGATGATTTCCGTTCTTGAAGCTCACGTGGACTTAACCTTCTTCAGCATCATCATTTTATCATCTGTTTCTGGATTATTAAGAAACTTCCCGGTTTCTAGTTAAAATCTCTTAAGTGGAATAGACTTTTTTTGATACAATTAACATCCACTTTTAAGGAGCTTATAGGAATATCAAAATTGTGGTGTATTTTATTCATATGGAAGTATGTTACTTTTAAGTCTTATAAATCAAATATTTAAGATATGTTGTGTTTACAAATAACTTTAATAATGGGGTGGTTTAGTGCTAAAAGGAATATTGTTTTATGTTGTGAAATCCAAGAGAACTTTATTTAATTAATGCTTTGATTTTGATTCTCTGTAAGATAATCTTGATAATACTTGAGAGTTTACAAAACATTATTGGGCAGATATTTTAGAATTTTACTATTTTGATATTAGATTATTTCTTAGATTTTAGTTTTAGGGTTACCTCAAATTAGTAAAAACTATGAGATCAGTAACCAGTTGCTTTATGAAATTTCATGATTAAATTTAAAGAAGACAAATATGGGCAATTAGAAAACAATACTCTGTTTCAAAGCCCTTTTGTGAGAACTTTCTCTAAAGCACTCTGCAGTCTTTAGTTTGTCTCTACCTGCAAGTGGGCAGAACTGTATTCCTTACCAGCAAAGCTAAGAATTAACTTATAAAGCGTGACTAAGGAAGCATGTTAAAAAGCCTGAGGAAATTAAAGAATATCTGCCTATGTCTACAAATACTACAAATTAACACATTACCCAAATGGCAGCATATTTGCTAAGTAGCTTTATTGTCAAATAGGAATTTCTAAGTACATTAGGTCAGAATATTTGCTTTTTATTTTATCCACACTTAACGTATTATATAAAACCTTTGCTTTAAAACTTACATGTCAAAGGCGTAGAGTGAATCCTGTCTGTTTTGTCTTGGCCAGTGAGTCAGACACCCTGCTGTTCTTTTTGCCCAGTTTGAGGGCCCCTGGCCTCAGTAAGTTTGTTTTGTTTACCCTGTGGCAGTATCTGCCAGTGACAGTCCATTGTCCGAGTATGGTCTCCCGCTTCACAGCTCACAGTAGTTTGCTTCAACCAAACAAGGGATTACTTTGATGATTAAAAATGTGGCCTAGCAACTGCAGATTTTAAGCGGGTGAACATCAGGTGGATCTGGGTTGATAATGCTCCGGGCTTAGTGAAATCCGCTATTAGACAAATTCTGAAGGCAGAGAAGATAAAGATATCCTGTAATAAACTTCTAATTGCATAGTGTATCTTGATCAGACAATATATAATACACTTAGAAAGCACCTACGAAGGGTTTATGCTGTAATGGCTCTGAACGGCACTGATTTGGTCAGTGTTTCCATTTGCAAGAGCACATCTCCAGTAAATGAGCCTGTTCTAAAATTCTGTGTTATAACTAATGTTTTAAGAAACTCGATGATATGTACCAAAAGAGTATTTTCCTTTTGTTAAATATGAAATTTAGTCTTTTACCTAAAAAACATCAAAATGATTAGTTCCAACCTTTTAAAAAATATGTAAGATAGTCAACTAAGAAAAAATCTAAATGATAAATTGTTCAAGAAAAGAATTAATTTAGTTTATTACATGTTAAATATTTCAGGATTTTTTATTTTGAGATTTCCTGGGGAAAAAGAGGAGATTGCAGTATTAAGACTGCTGAGTTAGGAGTTTGAAGCAGATAATGAGAACAATTAGATTTTTAAAATTACATTCCAAATACAAAATTATATAAATCTTTTTCTTTCTTTTAGATATACTGAAACATGTTAAATAAGACATTAACTTTTTTAATTGAGTATGAAAAATATTTAACCTAAATCTAAAAGTTATTTGAGATCAAGGGATAAAAGTGTGATGCATATATGAAGACAAAACTCAACTGTATTTTCTTTGTTATCAGTAAGAACTCTACTTTCAGTTTTTTTCTGTGGTAGTTCATTTCAGCTTCACGGAGATTTCCGACCAAATTGAGGAACACTGTCTTGGGTTTGTTTTAGTTATATGTCTTTCTATGTTATTTCTTGTTGAAATTTATGTATGTGGATATTTTTGGTAGTATGTATTTAATGTTTATGATAATGTCTTGTTAAATTACATATAGTTATACCAAAATGCTGCCTGAAGATAAATCATGAGAAATTCCCCTTCCTGCACTTGCATTTTGAATATATATGCAATCACTCATAGACATGGAGTTGCGTTTCATTTTCCTGTCACACTTTTCATTGTGTCTCAAAACCTATTTGGTGGAAGTGCTATCATGAAGAAGTGAATTTGCCAAAAGGCAAGTGGCATCAAAGGAGACAAAAGAAGTAATAGGCCAATAAAATTGATAATTCTGAACAACTCGGCTTTCTTCAAATGTGAGAGGCTGTGCTCTTCCATTCCACCTATCAGTTGGGTGTTTCCTAAATGCCTTTAGGTTGGTTTGGGTCACAGTGCCTATCCCAGTGGTTGGGGCAAACCAAGGCCTAAACCTGAACACACTGTATAGCAATAATTGTTAGATATTTTTCCTGTGATATTTGAAGCTATTCCTTTCCTACTTCTGTTTCTTTTCTTTCCTTCCTTTCAGTCCTATCTGTGGTTAAGAGCTTTTTTTTTTTTATAACAAAATCTTAGCTTTTTACCCTCCTAGCTTATTCTGCACCGTCCTTACCCTAGACTTGGCTTGTCTGTTAACCACCTGCACCATGTAACAGCTTTTACCGCAGTGTAACAACGATTGTCCGTCCTAATACCTATTTCAGCCTTAAACATTCACACTTCAGTTCTTACACTGAAGACAGACTTGTCTTTGAAGACGCTGCTGTACACCAGCACTGTAACCTCATCGTTTATTTCAGCAAGTTTGCTGCAATGGAATGGCTTTACTCAGATTCCCCCAAACTTTCTGTGCAATGTTCTCACCTTCGGGCATATTATTTCCCATACTTGAAACACTCAGTTTTCTTTCATTCAGGCTATCTAAAACTTTCTCTGCTGTTTCTTTAAAGCTCTGACCAAGCCTTGGTTTTCCTCTTCCAAACATTCTAACCTCCTTCCAAACTCTGGTAGGTTGGCTTTCTATTTTCCTTTCTCCATCACTTACATATATATCTTGTTTTATTTTGGAAGTTATTTTTTCAATGTTGCTGCTGCTGTTTATCAAATAAGAGCAACATTCAGGTAAGTATTTTGGGTGACTTGGCTGTGAGCTTTCTAACTCCTCGAGCCCTCAAAACTTGAAGATTTTTGAATTTGCATATATCCCGCATTCCATCAGGTATCAGCTGTTTTACAGATGTAGAACTGAGTCTAGGAAAACTTGCAGTGATGGTTTTCCTTGCGTTGCTTCTTTGAGCCTGGCTTGAGGGCAGACTGTTGCATTGGGCCCAGTCTGAAACCGAAACCACACAATAATTTTAAGCAGGGGAAATTTAATGTTAAAACATTTCAAACTGCGACAAGAGAGAAGAGAACTTGGTTTGGTACCCGAGGGCTGAGGGAAGGTACTTGAAGGAAGACAGACTTGGCAGAGAGGTCTTGAGATGTGGGTTCAGGCCTTGTTCAACAGGATGACAGAAGTTGACTGGTCTGGCAGACCAGACCGGAGGGTGTGGCTTCCAGTTGGCAAGCAGGAAGCGACCCTCCAAGGTTCAGGGACGCTGTAGCTGGTGACTGCCTCTGTGGGTGCTGGAGGGAGGGAGCGGCCCCAATGCTGGCGGCTCACCCGGCCCTCGGGGTGTGGCTTGGAAGGGGTGAAGGGAAGTGATCGCCAGCCCTGGGCCCGGGCCGGGGGGTCGCCGAGGAGGATCATACATTCTAGGATTCTGACCTGATTCTGTGCGGCATGTCTTCATACCCACCTTCTTATTGATGGTGCTGAGAGATCGTGAATTGGCAACTGGCAGAGAAACCGATCAGGTTCTAGAAAGGTTTTGGTGGGAAAGACCATCATCAGGGGAATAAAAAATGCCTCACCTGTCCTCCTCGGCCCTTCCCTGTTTTGCGATATATTACTTAGCCAGTCCAAACCAAGAAGTGAGCTTAAAGGCAAGACAGCAAATGTTAGTTCATGTAGAAAACAGACGCAGCCGTGGCTGGTGTGGCTCAGTGGGTGGGCATCCTCCTGCAGACCCGAAGGGTGCTGCCTCCATTCCTGGTCACGACGCAGGCTTGGGCTGCGCGCCGGGTCCCCCGTTGCGGGCGAGCGAGAGGCAACCGATGGATGTTTCTTTGGTACATCAATGTTTCTCTCCCTCGTGCACTTTCCAAAATCCAAGAAAACACTGAGAAACCTCTGGCCATTATTTTCACAATCTAAGGCATTTGATAACTTAGAAAAAAAATAGTTCTGAACTAGGAAGCTGGGACTATTATAAGTGTTTTTGGAATTACAGGACTGATAGTCAGAATATCAGAAAGAGTGCAGTTGCTTCCAGTACTTTTCATTAAGGTAGTCCCTTGCTTTTATAGGAATGTTCCCTGCAATTGGAATGCTTTGATTGCATGCACAATTCTTGTTTCCATTAAGCCACAGTTTGTTTTTCTGAGTCTTCCACATAGTGCTCTTATATTGCCTTTGAAGAGACCAGGTAGCTCATTTGGATAGAATATTGTTGCGATATGGCAAGGTTGTGGGTTTGATCCCCGGTCAGGACACATAAAGAATTAACGAATGAATGCATAAGTAGGTGG